TTTTTTTTAGTCTGCATCTGTAGTTGGTGATTTTCCACGGTAGACCACATTTTAAAAACCCTATTATTAATGGTAAACTTGCGCATAATGAAATCTGCAAAAGTTAAGTCTGCAAAAGTTGAAGCTTGACTATATTCTGCACTTTCACTCATACCTTTGATGGCTGGTAAATGACTTTGCTAAGGCATTTGAAGTTGATTTATATTATGGGTGTATAGTGTTATTCATTTAGTTTTGCTGAGTTTTTCATTTTTATTTGTAAGTGGGCATATTGCTTTTGTGGAAGAAGAGGTACAATATATAACTTTATATTCTCAACCCCTGCCCCACCCTTCTGGTCACCCAACCAGATTGTAGGGTTCAGAACATTCAAGTCAAGAGTGCTGTTGGGTCTAACCTATTTTGGGTATATCTGTAAGAATGATAAATCCTTTTGCTTTTCAAAGAAGTGAGTGTTAGGGTGTGGGGAGTTTTCTTATGGTGGTTTTCTCGAATTTCTTGGAAGGAACAAGGACTCCTTTTTAAATGATCAGAGGTTTCATAATGGACAAAATCCCATCATGAATGCAAAGCTGTGATTTTTCTTGTTTAACCTTGGCTTATTCAGAATAACAAATTAACATCTGATCATATGAGTTACTGCTTAGGCAGCAATATAAACTTCCAGCATGAGAATAAATTGTGATTCACATAACCTAGGCAGATGTTTCACAGAAACGTAGTGTCTGATGGAGAATATAATTTTATGTCTATGCTGGTGAATCTGAGAATCTCCAGTTCTCTTGGTACTTAAAGGAAATGAGGGCCTCTATTTTGTTTTCTGTATTTATTACTGTATATCAGGCACACTTTTTCTCATTTAAGGGGCTTCAAAATATTGTGCACTTTAGATATGACATTTGCAATTTTTTTGTTTTGTTTTTTCTTTTTTAAAACTCTTTCATCCTAGGGGGGAGGAGGGGAAGAAGGATGAAAGGTCCCAGCCCTAATGACTCTTCCAGGCCCTCACCATTTTGTCCAAAGGCTGTTTACCTTCTGGGTGAGCTAAGTGTGGCTCTGCTGCCCCCCCCCCCGCCCCAACAGACCCATAGACTTAGTAAATAGACTCATGCAGATAAGATAACTTCTGAGTTTCTTCACACTTTCTCCTCACCCCACAGGAAAGATTGTACTACAAAGCCTCATTGGAAAAAAATATTGTGAATGCAGAGGGAATTCTAAAAAATATTAAATGAAAATATTCTAACATTCCCCCCCACCCCCCAAATTCCAAAACTGGATGCTCCTTACATTTGATGGTGCTGTAGATTGGGTGAAATATGATCTTTTTTATTGGATAGTATTTTTATTTATTTTATTTATTTACTACATTTATATGCCACCCTTCTCACCCCGAAGGGAACTCAGAGCAGCTTACAAGTACTGTAAAATTTGTGGAAAGCATGCTAGCACAAACTGCAACAGTGGTATAGTTCCAAGAAAACAAACCATGGCTTTTTCCAGGAGGCGTATACAAAAATCCAAATACTATACAAAATATAAAAAACATAAAAAAGAAAGTTAAAAATATTGATAAATAAAAGAAAAAAGAGGAATAAATATAATGGAAAATAAAAGTGTATTCCAATCTTTTTCACAGCTATTACAACTAAATCTTAATTACACTAAATCCATCCTTTTTAACACTAGACAAAAGAAAAACATCAAATATTAAACCAAAGTTACCCTTCTTTCAGTAATTTATCCATTTTTGTTGGTATATCTAGAAGAAATAACTTACCATACTAAATACCAGTAAGTGAGCAACAGATTTGCATTAAACTGTCTTTTTTGTTTCCACAACAACTGCTGGGTTAAAGAAAGCCCTTTTTGTATATTCCCTTAGGTCCTTCCTTCATTCATTCATGAAATTAAATTGCTGACCAGAGCTTGTCTCCAGCTAGTGGAGTCTTGGCTGTCGCTTCTTTCCTCCATGGACACCTGATGTACATTTGTATGGATTAACATTGGGGAAATGGTTCAATACTTCAATCTCTAGCATTTCCAGTTAAACTAAAATCACCTGAAAGCAAAGGAAAAACAACTATTTGTCCTTTGAGAAAATTTTATTTATTCTAAAGGTTGAAATGAAATGAAATCTGTAAACTGGGAAAATGTAATTCTTTGAATTTATGTTGATTATATTTCTGAAATGGTTAAAAGAGAAAAATAACAAATTTCCTGATTTTGGGGACACATTTTTGGTGGTGCTCTCTTTTCTTAAGATTTTCAAAGTTTCATATCAAAGATGTTTGAAGGGTTGACTTAGCAGTTTGAGTTGTTATTGTTGATGATGATGTGTGATTTAAGTCATTTCTGATCCAATGGCTACCCAAACCTTTGACACCATGCTGGCAATATGCTGGCAGTAAAAATGTTTACTTTTTGGTATTAAGGGACTCAAACTAATGTGGAATATTTATCTTTACAGGCTACAGCCAAGACTGCCTTCTTGTTTATCTTACCTCAGTATAATGTTAGTGTGCCTACAACAGGTAAGAGTACCTATGCATATTTTTATTTTTTATTTTGTTGCCAGTTCCAGATTATTTACTTTAACAAACAATTGTTTTTTATTTGTGTAAACATTTGAAACAGAACCATCTGTTTTAATTTATATATAAAGACCTACATTTTCCCTCCCCCCAATCCCAACCTAATTCTGGGATTACCTCATACCATATATCAGTGCAATTGAATTACTTTTCTATCAAATCATTCATTTTTGTGCAACTGACACAGGTACAGGAAAACCCTGAGATGATAGTTGCCTATGAGGAAATTAAGTTTAAACTCCACAACGAACTTTGGACTATTCCGTACAATACAACTACTTATCCAAGATAATTCCTCTGCTATCTTCCACCTGACTGTCTTTTTAAAAAAATCTGTAAAAATAAATTTTCAGTCTGGAATGGTACAGGCAAGATATATTGGTGAGAACTCAATTTGAAAAGATGAGCTAGTGTTAACTTCGTTTTGGAAGAATAAGAGGAAAAGATTTGCTATTCAGATCCTCTCAATTCATATTTCAGATTCAGATTCTTTCAATTGATATTTTCCTACAAAGGGGGGGACTAATCTAATGTGGGAATTGATCTTGCAGTTTTCTATAGGCAGGAACATGGAAACTTTTGAGTGTCCCACTAGAAATGCTAATCAAGGTGGTCAGTTGAAACATTCACACCTAGATCCAACAGACAATAGTCCTTTGTCCCACCCTGGTCATTCCACAGATATATAAACCCCTTTTCCTAGTTCCAACAGACCTCACTACCTCTGAGGATGCTTGCCATAGATGCAGGCGAAACGTCAGGAGAGAATGCCTCTAGAACATGGCCACATAGCCCGAAAAACCTACAACAACCCACTGATTCTGGCCATGAAAGCCTTCGACAATACGTTGCAGAAACTATTTTGGCATTGAGAACAGAGTATACGGATACACCTTTTGAATATTCAGACATTAGTAAAAATATAAGAAGCAGGACTTCCCTGAAGTTTCAGTTTCCTTGCTCCTGAAGTTTGTTTAAGTGGGAGTAGAAAAAGGGTTGAGACCCAATACAATCAAGATATAGGCTGTTGCTATCACATCAATCCTCTTTCCTCAGAAGGGTCTTCAAATTTCATCTCAACCACACCATTTTGTCCAAGGGCTAAAATTTCTGGCTCACACAACAACCCACAGATTTTCTTCTTGGGATCTCCATACTGTTTCGAAAGTACTCACTGTGTCATTGTTTGTGCCTGTCATAAAGATATCACTAAAGTATCTCACCTGGAAGTATCTCCTGTTAACAGCATTTACTTCAGCACTCTGAGTTTCTATACTGGGGAGCCACTGGGGGGAGTTAAAGCATCATAAAGGCCCGACTCTATTCTCCTGAGGTAGGATCCTATCTTCATTCTGAAAGTGAACTCCCCATTCCCTGAGGAACCGGAGGTCTTACTGCATTTCTTTTGCCTTCCAAAAACTTGGGGAGGATTTGGCACATGCTGCATATGCTTCATACCATTAAAGTGTACTTAAAGATGATGGACTTCGTCGTCATCTCTCACAGTCAGCATTCACTAGAAAAGAAGGTTTTCACACTTTCATGGATGTGCCATTACTGAGACCTGTGCTGGTGCACCAAAGAGGAGGAGGAGGAGGAGGAGGAGGAGGAGGAGGAGTGATGCAACTTTGGCTTCTTTTAGAACCAAGTCATCACTAGTTCAGATCTTTGGCGATTTGGAAATCACCCTCTATCATAGTATGATACTACAAACATGTGATTGCGTCAGCCAAGAGGTCTTAGGAAGGTGGGTTTTCCAGCACATAGCAGATCAGTAATTTGAATTGAGCTCCAGTCTTCTCACCCAGCTAGATACTTTGCTGCTTCAGACATTTAAGGATATTCAGCTCCCCTCCACAGGGAACAGGACTGTTTGTCTTGCCCGTGAGATAGTATTTTCCTGTGAAAGGCGCCTTCCTCCCTTTTCACAGGCCTGGAATTTGAGTAGGTTTTGTACATAGTTCTCATGGGGACAGAGATGGGGGTAGCTATCCTCTTGACCATTTCTTACCTATTGTGTCTGTCTGGTTTTTCTTCTGTTTGCATTCTTCAGTCTCTGTCTCTTTTTGTTACATTATGATAGCTCCCTACTCTAAAAAATAGAGAGAAAGATAATAAATTGGTAGTGTGAGGTTCATTCTTATCTATGAGAGAGGCTCACAATTTTCTTCTGCACCAGATCATTGAGCTGCCACATGGGGTTGTTCTTCCTAGTGGTCACTTTCAAAGGGTTCAGTTGTTCCTGCCTATATGGAACTGGGGGACTACCCCACATTTAGTCACTCTTCACAGGAAAGGATAATCTCACAGGTAAGATACATTTCTGCAAAGCAGAAATTAAGGATTATTATGAAAGTTATTTGATGACATTGACTTCCACATGCTGACATTCCTTCTCATTCTTGCTAAATTGTAAAACCCAGCTGAATCTTTCAAAAACAGTTGATACCATAAGATAAGGGTCTCATCAGCACAATAGTAATTTTGGTACTGCTTCTTAACCATATCTCATAGCTATGCCCATTGTTCCCATGTTTCCAGCCAATATGAATGGACAGTGAAGGAAGTCTTATTTGGACTTGAGCTGTATCGCTTCTAGCTCTGACTGGGCTTTCCAATTATGGAACATAGGCAGTTTTGGATGTGCTTCCTGGGTATTCACATTTGTATTTTGGACTAAAATGTTGAAATATACACACTAATGAATGGTACAATATCAGTTTCTGCATGATACTCTTTTTTCCCTTATGCCCCAAACCACAACTATTTGCAAAGAAAAATACGAGCTTGTCAGTTTTGTTTTACTTTGTTTTTGCTTTCTGCATCAGTCATAATAATTTTAAGTCTCAACAGCCTGAGGCTTCTGAACTTAAATGTTGATATTAATTTCATTTCAATTCATTTTCTTTAGATGGTGAACTTGTTCTTTATCACTATGGGCTAAAGGATTTGGTCACAATACTCTTCTACATCTTCATAGCAATAATTTTGCACGCTGTGGTGCAGGAATATATATTGGATGTAAGTTTTGCTTTCAAAACATGCTACTACACACCTACTTTTTTCTTGTCTTAGGGGGCTATTGAAAATGTGGTATTGGTTTTTCTCAGTGTCCCTATAAAGCCAGAATGGTTCCATTTCCTAGTTGAATGAAGTTGCAGGAAACTGGCAGTCTTTGTTTCACATTAAGGTAAAGATTTTCCCCTGACATTGAGTCCAGTCGTGTCCGACTCTGGGGGTTGGTGCTCATCTCCATTTCTAAGCGGAAGAGCCGGCGTTGTTCGTAGACACCTCCAAGGTCATGGGGCCAGCATGACTGCATGGAGCACCGTTACCTTCCCGCTGGAGTGGTACCTATTGATCTACTCACATTTGCATGTTTTTGAACTGCTAGGTTGGCAGAAGCTAGGGCTGACAGCGAGAGTTCACGCCGCTCCCCGGATTCGAACCTGCAACCTTTCAGTCAACAAGTTTAGTAGCTCAGCGGTTTAACCCACTGCGCCACCGATGGCTCCTTATCTCACATTGATTTGTTTAGATGTTAATTAAAGCATGGACCTGAATTTGTTGCCTTCTGAGCTAGCAACTGCTTTAATAACCTTTTTCTTTCATTCCTATTTCTGTTTTCCCTGGTCTGTGGCACAGTTTAGTTTGTCATTTCATCTTCTGCTTACTACCAAAATCAAATTTTCTTTTATGAAAAAAAGATGCTCTCCCTTTTGGCAGGAATAATTGGATGCTGTTAGTGTCTGTAGGAATATTTAATACTTTTTTCTTCCCGTCCCAGGGCAGGTGTCAAAGGTAACCTTGCATGGGTGATAAGTGAAGACTGCTGTACAGGAGATGTGTGCAATCTTAATTTCTTCCAGTGAAAATAACAGAGTAGCTGGGTTGGAACCACTCCCACAATGGAGGCTAGATAGCACTCGTTGTTGTGAGTGCTTTGTATGCTTCTGCATGGCAGGGGATTGGACTGATTGGCCCTTGTGGTCTCCTCCAACTCTATGATTCAATGAAGGCTTAGGGTGATTCCAGATGAGTAAGAAAATCTCACTAAGTTGCAAAACTTTTCAGTTTTTTTTGTCCCTGTATCTTTCTTGCTTTTTTTCCTTTCCACCCACTTCCTCTTCCCATTGATCATGTGCCAATGTAGTCTCATGCAGCATTTCAGGAACAAATTTTCACTCATTTCCACCAAGCCATTTTTGTTATAATTGGGGGGTTATAAGCAAACTGCTAAAGTGCTTTAGCAGTATTGTACTAATTAAGCATTAGGATAATTTTGTTTTCGTACTAACATGACTCTTTCCTTTGCTTGGTCTCTGTTGAATCTGTGTCCTGAAAACAATAGCTGTTTTTACTTGGTAACCACCTTTTACAGTCCAAAAAGGTTTTGATACACACACAAATCCAGATACAATTAATTTTGGGCTGCATCAGGTTAATAAGTTCAGAATGAAATGCTTTAGAATGGGGTAGACATTATGTAAATCACCTGAATAAAATGGTTTTGTACAGGAACAAAACCTGGGATTTTCAGAGAGTTTTCTCCATCTAGAGGTGCCCATAGACTGCCTGCCTTTCTGGTGCATTAGTGTTCTTTCCTTTTTACATCAGGAAATGGGAAAAGAGATAGCAGGCAAGATAATGGCTATCAGGTAGTGTGATGTCAAAAATGCAAAGGCCTTGCATGGTGACCTGATGTAATATTTCAAAAGTTGTTATGATGGCATAATGACTGAAGGATTGTGTACTTTTATGAGAGACTTAATGGGATGTGATTTTTTCTTACCTCTATTTTTTTTCTCATTTCCTTTTTTCCCCTCTAGAAAATCAACCGGAGGCTCCATCTCTCTAAGATCAAGCACAGCAAGTTCAATGAGTCTGGACAGCTAATATCATTCCATCTTGCCTCCGTGGCCTGGTGCTTATATGTGGTAATAACGGTAGGATATTTAATTTCCTTTATAAAATGTGGGCAATTAATTTGATGTTAAGAGAAGGTAGCCAGTTTTCCTTTGTTGTTGTCCTCCTTCTGGTGATGTGTTTCTTCAAACAAAAAATTGCTGGGGAGAGGTGGGTTGTTGTTATTATTCTTCAACTGTCAATCTAGTTCTGAAAAAAGCCTCCTTCAGCCTTGTAATAATGGAAGAGGGAGGGGAAAACAGCAGTATTGCTTCCCATCCCCCAGGAATAGAGGGGAAGTGCCATTTTGCAAGCTCTGGTGGAGGCACATGCATCCCCTGGACATTTGGAAGCCAGTTTATCCTGATATGACCCTTCATCACTTTGAAATGTTAATCTCAAAAAGAATAATAATTCTTCATATGTATAGGTATGTAGGTATATATACATGCACTGATGCTAATAACAAGCACAATGTGTTGACTGATATTCATCAACTGTAGTGATGTTGCTTGTATTTTAACAGATCTTGCACCATTGATTTCATCCAGTGTCAATTTGGCATTTAAGCTATTGCGAGTTCTAAATAACTTTTAGCTGATAGGGAAGGTCAAAAGTTAACAAGCTAAAAATGAATCTACAGTGGCAGCAAAAAAAAAAAAGCAATCAATGAGATTATAGGCTGCATCAACACAAGTATAGTTGGACCTCAACACTTGTGAGTTTAACTTTCACAGACTGATATTTGGGAATGACTTGTCACTGTTGCCTCCACTGCTGCTGTTGCTGTACAACACTTCACTGGAGAGGGATGCAGCCAGCCTCCTATATTTTTTTCAACTGAGTTTGACTGAATGCAGCTCAGTCATCTTTTTTTGTTTGGCTGAGAAGGGCCCAACAGGCTTCCCCTGGTTTTCTTGGCCAAGGAAAGTCTCTCCAATAGGAGAGGAGCCCATCCAGTTTAACCCACATCTCATGCTTCACTCAGTTGAAGAACGACCCTCTGACCTACTGGAGGGGATAAGGGTTCAACCAGCTTCCTCTTTTCGATGGAGGATGGATTCTGTCTGTTCAGGAGAGAAATGAGGTTCACAAGGAGGAGGAGACCTTTGCCAAGGAGCTGCTGCAGAGAGGAAGCATGAAGAAAGGCTTATTCTGTCCACCTTTCCTTTCCTTCTTTCCATTGAGTCGAACTCAGCAGGGTTCTTCTCACAATTCCTTCCCACATGCAGGAATGATTTTTTTTTAAAAAAACTTTATCCCTATTTATCTCCATTATTTTCAAAACATTATCACAGCAGAAGTGACTTGCAGCTTCCCTAGTTGCTCCTAACACACACACACAAACAAATCCCCATTGCAGGAGATTTTTGATGCATGTTACAATCAGTTGAGAGGTTTTTTGCCAAAAAAATTACTTTGGCGAAAAATATTTCTGTGTGAATAGTTGGTTTTGTACAAAAGCTTTCTTGCAGAAATGAATTTTATTTTTTAAAAATCCAAGTACGGTGTACTTCATGGCAGTTGGTAACTTTCAGTTGAGCTTTCTAAATAAGAAAAATGACCAGAATGGATCATACCATCTCTGGTTTTTCTTTTTCAGATATTCTTGTGTCACCTATGGTTCTTGTTTCTACTACTTTCAGTTGGTCTTTTTATTATGCTGTTTTTGTTTTTAATTATGTTGATTTTTAAATGTTATGTGGATTTTATTTATTAGTTGACTAGCTTACATACCTCACGATGCCCATGTTAGGTATCTGGTAAGGATAAACATTAGAAGTAGTCATTGTTTGGCTTTGGATTTTATGAATGGATTCATTAGAAAATATATAGGGTAAACTACAACTCCCCTCGTCATCTGTCATTGCTCCCAAACTGCTCCTGAGCTATGCAGTTGACTGTACTTACTGTCTTCATCAAGCATCTTCCACTACACCTGCCATTTACAGATCACCAGGCAAGAGATCATGCCACTGTTCCTAAAGGATGCTATCCAACAGTTTCCTCACCATATACTCGTATCTAGTTTTTCTTTCTCCCGGTATTTCACCATACCAAAGGGATGTGGTTTGCGGAGGTCTGTAAACCATTACATTTGGGCCAAATGTCTGTGAATGGTCATGCTATCCATCATTCTTCCCTTCCCGAAACACGAAGACTGGTTTGCCACTCTGGAGCTACAAGAAGTCTACTTCCATATTTACATCTTCTCTCAGCACTGGAACTAACTGGATTTCATGATTGGTTACAAGCTGTACCAGTACAAGTTCCTTCCCTTCTGTTTGGCTACCACTCCCAGGTTTTCACAAATGTAATGACAGTTTTCACCTTTCACTTCCAAATCGAGGGGCTAAGGACTTTCCCATACTTGGATATTGACTGGTTATTACCTCTGAAGAAGACAAATTCCACTGGTTGACACTCTGTGCTAATGACTCCTGCCTGTCATCTGAATCAAAAGCATGCCCTTTGATCCCCTCAGCCTACAACCCTCATGATGTTGGATGATTCCTGGTTGACTTAGGGCATTACTGTACATCCTCACAGTGCAGGGAATATGGTATGGGAAGGAGATCTGCTACCTTGGAGAAGATCGCAGTCACAAAAGCCTTCAGGGTGTTTGAAGGCTTCATCTTGGGAGTCGTGGTGCAGGTACTTTCAGACAATCATGGTCCCTGTCCTAGCATGCCTTCATCTTATTGTACATTAGCTGAGGTCTCTGATATTCCTGTTTCCACTATTTCCCCTGAGCATGAGAATGGTGAACAAGATTCAGGAGGACATTTCTGTGTCTTTATTAATTGGTAGCAAAGGTCTTGTGATACTTTTGGAAATGTCCTACCATGAGTAACTGTCTCCCGAATTTGTCCATTTTACTCACTCAAGGCAGGGGAGTGAAGCATCTAGATCTCAAACCTTTTTTCCTGGTCACTTGGTGGCTTCACGGGTACTAGAAGTGTACATTTACTACTGGCCTCATGTAAACCCCCCATTTATTAGTTTTATACTCCCAAATGACTGTGCTTTTGCTACTTGGCCTGGGCTTCAGGATTCTTGACACTACGAATATTTATTTATTTATTTGTTTGTTTATTTTGTGCCTTGTCCTTCTCACCCCCAGAGGGGGACTCAGGGCAGCTTTACAACAGGCAACCATTAAATGCCAAACAATTACATTAAAATGGACAATTACAATTAAAACAGCAAATAAAAACAGTTATAAACATTCAGTTTAAAAAAGTTCCATTAGTTAAGAATCATAGGTCCAGGGTCAGTCCATTGCCGGTCACATAAATATGAAGGCAGCAATGATGTTCTTGCTATAGCTCAAGAGATGGTTCTCTTGTCTCTTCTCTACTTGGCAGTCATAGTAGCATATTGGCAGATTTTAAAATGTGACTGTCAAGAGGTTTCTACACAGGTTTATTTCACCTCTACCCACTTGTCAGTGATCCTGTTCTGCCATAGTTGACTTCACTCTTCTTCTCACAATCTTATCTGGAAACCCTTCAAACCAATAGCTACAGTGGATTACAACATTCTTACACTCAAGCTAGTCTTCCTAGTGACTTCCATCTTCATTAAGTGAAGCTGCACTTTGACCTGGTATTTTATTTTCCTAAGGTGATGTCTTCACTGTCCTTTCACCAAGACATTGCATTACCGGCCTTCCACCAGGGCCCTTCACCCTACCTGAAAAAGACTTTGCATTGCTTGGATGTATTGCTTGGCCTATTTATAGTTCCCCAGATTATTTATATGCTATGGAGAAGGGAAAGCCAGTTTCCTTGTTTCTGCCTAGACACTGTCAACATGGGTTGTCAAAATTATCAATTAGACATACCAACTAGCCAAGAAACTTCAACCATTAGTCCTGAAATCCCATTCCAGCTGAGCAGCCTCTACTCCTAACACATATCTAAGGAAAGATTCTCTGTTAGGGGTTGGCAGAGCAGCTACTTGGACTCATCTGTCTACTTTCATCTGGCTCTGTTGAATAGATTTCAAGCTCAGCTGATATCTTGTTTAGAAAGGGAAGTGCTGTTGTCAATTCTTGTTTGATCTGCCCTACCTTTAATGATAAGCCCAAATGTATGAGGCACAGAGAACCTGAAGAAAGAGGGCATGTTGCTTACCTATAACTATAGTTCTTCTAGTGGTCATCAGTGCCCTCACACAACCCTTCCTCCTCTCCTTTCTTTCTGCAGGTCTAGTCTACTCATAGCAAAAGGTGCAAATGAGAGGTAGTAGCTGGCACCTAAAATGGGTGGGGTTTCTGCCAGAAGCTACTCAGCTCTGAAACATTCTGTGGATGGATCTGCAAAGATGGGAGGCCCACACAGATGACCACTCAAAGAACTACTGTTACAGGTTAGCAGCCTGGCCTTTTCTTAAGCAGGGAATACTCAGAGCTGGTTTTGACAGTTCCTTCCTTTTATTCCAGGACAGTTAATTTTAAGAAAAAGAGTTTATGGTAAATTGAAATGGACTCCACCTGTCTTCTCAGAATGGCCCGGGGCTGTCACTCTTCATTCTTTTTCTCAATTGTTTAGATGATGAGGTGGATGGAATTCTTATCAAAGTTGCAGATGATACAAAATTGAGAGGTGGCTAACACATAGGAAATAATAGAATGCAATAAGTTCTTGCTAAACTAAAAAGCCGGGTTGAAACTAATAAAATAAAATTTAACGGAGACAGTGTGAAATTTTCCATTTAAACAAGAAAATCCAAATCTACAGGTATATAATGGGGAACTCTCGGCTTAGCAGTACTGCATGTAAAAAAAAATATTGGGATTATTGTTAATTCTGTTAGGAGTGGTTTAGAGATCTGGATATCTTTAGCCTGGGGAAGAGACGGTTGAGAGGACACATGATGACAACATTTAAATCAGGGGTCCTCAAACTAAGGCCCGAGGGCCGGATACGGCCCTACAAGGTCATTTACCCGGCCCTTGCTCAGGGTCAACCTAAGTCTGAAATTACTTGTAAGCACATAACAACAACAACAATCCTATCTCATCAGACAAAAGCAGGCCCACACTTCCCATTGAAATACTAATAAGTTTATATTTGTTAAAATTGTTCTTCATTTTAATTATTGTATTGTTTTAAAGTTGTTGGTTTTTGCACTACAAATAAGATATGTGCAGTGTGCATAGGAATTCATTCATGGTTTTTTTTCCAAATTATAATCCGGCCCTCCAATATTTTGAGGAACTGTGACCTGGCCCTCTGTTTAGAAAGTTTGAAGACCCCTGACCTAAGGAATCTAAAAATTCAAGGTAGTCTATTAATAAGTTAGTAAAGTAGAACAAAGTCTGCTATGAGTCGCTATGACTATCATCCTTGTCTCCTTTAATATTATGCAGAGCTTATGTCAGGACCCAGAAGCCTTAATTAGAGCCAAACACAAGATAAGAGTTCAAAACGCAGCTTTATTACACAAAAATAGTTCTTCAAGCACTTAACTTCAGTGCAAAAGAGTCTCTGTAGAGACTCTTTAGCAACGCTACCAACACGCTGAACTACAACAGCTTATGTATTTCAATATACACATTCCTAATCTATTTAAGACAAGGGTCCCCAAACTAAGGCCCGGGGGCCAGATACGGCCCTCCAAGGTCATTTACCCGGCCCTTGCTCAGGATCAACCTAAGTCTGAAATGTCTTGAAAGCACACAACAACAACAACAACAACAACAACAACAATCTTATCTCATCCACCAAAAGCAGACCCACACTTCTCACTGAAATACTAATATAAGTTTATATTTGTTAAAATTCTTTTTCATTTTAATTGTTGTATTGTTTTTAAGTGTTTTTGCACAACAAATAAGATATGTGAAGTGCATAGGAATTCATTCATGCTTTTTTCAAATTATAATCCGGCTCTCCAACAGTTTGAGGGACTGTGACCTGGCCCTCTGTTTAAAAAGTTTGAGGATCCCTGGTTTAAATATATTAAAAGATGTCATTTTGAAAATGGAGCAGGATTATTTTCTGATGCTTTAGAAATTTGGGGTCAGTGGATTCAAACTACAGCAACAGAGATTCCATCTGAAAATTAGGAAGACTTCCCTCACAGTAAGATCTGTTTGACAGTGGAATACATTGCCATGGAGTCTCCTTTGGAGGTTTTTAAATGGAGACTGGATGACTATCTGATAAAGGGTGTTTTGATTGTGTTTTCCTGCATGGCATGAGATAGGACTGGATGACCCTTGTGATCTCTTCTGGCTCTATGATTCTAAGGAAGTATATTTGCCCTCTATTCTGTGCTGGTCAGACCTCATTTGGAGTATTGTTTTCAATTCTGTGTACCTTATTTTAAGGGTATAAACAAGAAGGGGTGTATTCAGAGGATCATAAGATCCTCTGAATCATTGCTCCTTCAAAGGGCAGAACTTGATCCAATGGTTTTTAAGTTCCAGGAAGGTAGATTTCAAATGAATCCCAGAAGGATTTTTTTGGTAGAGCAGTTCAGCAACGGAACCAGTGCTTAGAGAGATGTAGGAGTCTCCTTTTATGGATGCCTTCTGAAAGAGGCAAGCCATCTACCTGTTAGGGATGTTCTGTCTGGAGATCCTGCCTATCATTAGTTTGCCTCATTATGACCCAGAAGAACTTGGGAAGGTTGTTACTAAACCAAAATATGGCTGCTGATTTAATTTACATATCTTTCCCTCTCTCTTCCCTCTCGATTCAGGAAGGATACTTATCAAATCCCAAGAGTCTGTGGGAGAGCTATCCACATATTCATCTCCCGTAAGTAGCCATAGAGTAATCTTTATATTATGAAGCACAACTCCTTCCTCCTGGTTTAGTTTGTCTATATTAGTGAGAAGATAATGATGATAACAATAATATTTCATCAAATGCTTCTATATTTTCTTCACTCCCCAAAAAATGATGTCAAAGTCCCTTCCAGTGAACTGTGCTTTATTGCAAACAAAATCCTTTCAAGGCGGAACAGAATTTATTTTATTATGAATAGCTGCGTGCTAGTGTTTAAAACAATAATTTGGGACTCTTTTTAATTGGGTTGCTTTGAGTTTTCTGGGCTGTATGGCTATGTTCCAGAAGCATTCTGTCCTGACGTTTTGTCCACATCTATGGCAGACATCCTCAGAGGTTGTGAGGTCTGTTGGAATTTTCATGGTTTCCTCTTTTCTGTTGAAATTGTCTACATGCTTGTGGATTTTAATGGCTTCCTTGTGTAGATTGACATGGTGGTTGTTTGAGTGGTCCAGCATTTCTGTGTTCTGAAATAATATGCTGTGTCCCAGGTTGGTTCATCAGGTGCTGTGCTATGGCTGACTTCTCTGGTTGAAGTAGTCTACGGTGCCTTTCATTGTCACACACCAGGGCTGGAAAGGCACCTCTGAACCAATCTCATACTCCAGAGTTTAATGAATAAGCAAAGCAGTTTATTGAAGAATAAATGTGGCTTCAGCAAAAAGAATAAAAGTATTAGAAGTAAAATAATAATAATAATAATAATAATAATAATAATAACAACAACACTTTATTTGTACCCCGCTACCATCTCCCCAAGGGACTCGGTGCGGCTTACATGAGGCCGAGCCCAAACACAACAATACAAGCAATTAGAAAACATAGACAATAAAATACACAATATTATCAATAAGACAACACACAATTAAAAACAGTAAAAAGGCCAAATGTAGAGTTAAAATTGGAAATAATGCTGGGACATGGATGAAAGGTGATATAAAATATAGTCCATGTAAAAACAGGCACTTAGAAAACTTGAAAGCAATAATCCATAAAAACTAATATACAGGAGAGACCTTTAAACTGGAGTCTTCGCAAACATAACAATCCTGAGGATCAAAGGTACATGAAAGGTCTAGCAAAGATCCCAAAATTTCATGAGTCCATGAAGCTACTTGATTCTAGGAGCAATATAAGAAACTATGAAAAAGCACTTGATATTCAAAACATGAATAATCACATAGGAAAATCCTAGGATTGAATCTTGAAACAAGAGAGAGGTACGTAGGCATATTCCCTTTACCTAGACGTTGATTCCTCTAAAGGATCACTCCAAATCATCTCTCATTTATACTTAAGAAACTCTGTCTTTTTCCTTGAGAACTCTGAGAAGGGCCTCTTTTTGATAACAGCCGCTGAGAATGTTGCCTCCCTTCGGTCACCTGTCTCTGTTGACAAAACTCACTCCTTCTATCTAGCTCAGGGGAGTCAGAAGAATCTACATCTACAATTAACACATTCCAATCAAATTCTGACCTTGGTTCTCTTGGAAAAGCTAGCTCAGGCCTGTCAGCCTCTGAGTCTGTCTCCAACTGAACATCCACTGTTGGCTTAACAATCCCAGAATTCTCAGCCCCATCAGGAGCAGCACCAGGCTCCTGCCCAGAATCCCCATCCTCAGACTCCTGTGGGTCTGCAAATGTTTGTTCAATGTCCTTTGAAACCTCAGGCAATGAAACAATCATAGGCTGAACCACAGCATTCATGTTCCTTGATTCATGTTTGGGTGTTGCGTTTAGTGGTCCCTATGTAGACTTGTCCACAGCTGCATGGTATACGGTAGACTCCTGCAGAGGTGAGAGGATCCCTCTTGTCCTTTGCTGAACGTAGCATTTGTTGAATTTTCTTAGTGGGTCTGTAGATAGTTAGTAGGTTGTGTATCTTCATCAACTTCCCTATGCGATCGCTCTAACAACCACCATGTCAGAGTACACAGAGAAGCCGTTAAAATTCACAAGCATGTGGACAATTTCAACAGAAAGAAGGAAACCATAAAAATGAACAAAATCTGGCTACCGGTATTAAAAAAACTCTAAAGTCAGGATAGTAAATAAAGAACGGACAGGGGAATTCAAGACAAGAAACAACCAGGGCCAGTTAACATCTCACAACAAATGATTCCCTCAGGCAGGAAGCAACCAGGCTTTGAAACTGCAAGGCTATTAAGTGCTAATCAAAGTGGATAACTGCAACATTCACACTTGCCTCAGGCAGACAAGAGTTCTTTTTCCCATCCTGGACATCATTCCACAGCTATATAAACCCCACTTGCCCAGTTTCCAACAGATCTCACAACCTCTGAAGATGCCTGCCATATATGTGGGTTAAACGTCAGGAGAGAATGCTTCTGGAACATGGCCATACAGCCAGAAAACTCACAGCAACCCAGTGATTCTGGCCATGAAAGCCTTCAAAAACACACTGCTTTAATTCCTCTGAAAGCTTTTTTTTTATATTGAAATGTATTTGTCTTTATCTGCTGTATAATTTCATTCAGCTTGTTGCTGCCAAACTTGAGACAAGTCATCTTGCATTTAAGTAAGAAAATATTAAAAATGTTTAACTGGGATGTTGCATTGATTGATGTAAATGAGTAAAATAAATCATGCTTCTCTTTGTTATTAAATAATAGGTTCCAGGTAAAGTTTTTCTACCTTTGCCAGCTGTCCTATTGGCTTCATGCACTACCTGAACTATATTTCCAGAAGGTGCGGAAGGTGAGTGCCAACCTGTTACATAGTTAGAATTACATATTTATGATTTAACTAAATTCATGTACAGACCACTTTATCTAAAGCAGTGGTTCACAACCTGTGGGTCCCCTCGTGTTTTGGCCTACAACTCCCAGAAATCCCAGCCAGTTTACCAGCTGTTAAGATTTCTGGGAGTTGAAGGCCAAAACATCTGGGGACCCAACGGTTGAGGACCACTGATCTAAAATGATATCTCAGAGTGATAGAGCTTCTGCGTGAGTCTCTATAGCTCAGTTTGTGAAGAGGCAAAAGAGGATGAGGTTGTGTTTTGGGGATCAAGAATGAATTATTTGAAGGTTGAGTTGTTTGAAGGCTTGTTTTGATCATGGTCTCTCCCTAAGCACATAGTTTAAAGAGGCAGGACTTCCATTGAGAATGAATGAAGAACTAACTCAATTGGGTCTATGGTGTTGTGTGGTTTCTGGGCTGTATGACTGTGTTCTCCTGAGGTTTTACCTGTTTCTGTGGCTGGCATCTTTAGAGGATCTTGGAATTGGGTCTGTGTTGGCAACCACTAGTCTACAGAACTGAGGGGTTATGTAGCTGAGTTTGAGGAGAATGACTGGAATGCTGTGTATTATTTGTAGATTTTTATTATGAAGGTACATTATAATTAAATTGACAAAAATATATAATACAGTGGGCTCTTGATATCCAGTGGGTTTTGATTCCAGAACCTCCTGTGGATGCCAAAATCCATGGATGCTCAAGTCCCAAGTCATGTGATGTCTCTAATATGAAATGGCAAGCAACTTAAACAAGTGCCAGAGAGTGCCTAATGATCGTTGAGATGGTGGGAGGCTACTGCAGGACATGTCTACACATCAGTGTAATGGCAGGTTTGGTTTTTGGACCCCCCCCCCCCCATGTGCCATGGATGCAGAAATTGCAACTACGGAGGGCCAACTGCATTGAATATTTTGTCTACCACATTGCTTTAGCATACTTATGTTTTTTTGTTTGTTTGTTATTGTCCCATTTTATTTGAGTAACTCAGAAAGCTGTATGTTGGGATATAAATATTTTAAATTGATATTGTAAAGAAGCCCACAAGGTTCCAAGCCTAAAATTCCCTTTTAATGCTGGCTGCAGAAAGCACCCCTGTCTTCCTTCTGAAAAATACGGTATTCGGATTGTAATAATAATAATAATAATAATAATAATAATACCAACAACAACAACTTCATTTTTGTACCCTGCCTCCATCTCCCCGAAGGGACTTAGGGTGGCTTACATGGGGACAAGCCCCATCAACATGGTTAAAATATAACACAATGGTTTTGTTTTTGTTTTGTTTTTTAAAAAACAACAACTTCTGAAATAATATAAAACAAACCAAACATGACACAATATAAAACAATTTTCAAACAAACCACCACTGGTCTAAGTGGTAAACAGTTTTTGAGCTCAGGCAGCGGGCTGTTGCAAATCATTTGCAAGGACAGGGCTGATGGATAAAGTGCTGGAGTGAGATGCCAAGGCTAGGGAATGGAAGGTAATGGAAAAAGAGCACTATATCTCTGGTGAGGGAACAGTGATAATGTACAAAGACTGGGTTTTAGATCATAGATGGGGCCAAAATTATCTAGGGAACGCTATTAGTAGGCTAATGGAAGCAGTGAAATGCATTCTACAACATATGTTGACTGAGCTGAGAGAGCGGCTCCCCTTCCTCTTCAGTCAGTCTGGAAACCAGGCAAACAGACAGAAGAAGTGTGTTTCTCTGTCATCAGCCAGTTCATTTGTATATATGGAAATCTTCATTGCCTTTGGAAAGAAATTTGACAAAAATCAACAGTATTTCAAATGAAATTATGTCTCAAATGTCAAACTTGAGACAAGAAAATCCACAAATTAATTGCCTCCTCTGCAGAAAGTATTTTGAAAATGGGTTGTTGTAGGTTTTTCTGGGTTACATGGCCATGTTCTGGAGGCATTTTCTCCTGACGTTTCGCCTGCAGCTATGGCAAGCATCCTCAGAGGTAGTGAGGTCTGTTCGAAGTAGGAAAATGGGTTTATATATCTGTGGAATGACCAGGGTGAGACAAAGGAATATTGTCTGCTGGAGCTAGGTGTGAATGTTTCAACTGACCACCTTAATTAGCATTTGATGGCTTGGCAGTGCCTGGGGGAATTTTTTGTTGAAAGGTGATTAGATGTGCCTGATTGTGAAAATGTCTTTCAAACTTCTCATCCAGATTCTAATGTGATATGAAATGTATCTAGTTGCCTTTGTTTACCTAGCTCTTGCAACTTCAAATTCTCAGTACTACACTGAAATGACTCCTTCTAGAATTACAACCTTTTCATGTAATGGAGCACCTATTGTTTTGGTGGGAGAGCTGTAAAAGTCCTGAATCTAGCCTCAAAATCTAATTGGGAGCAGCCAGGGCTCTGCACCCATTTATTGTGGCTTAGAATGATCATTGGGTCTTTTTTCTTGTTTACCAGGAGGAGATTCCTCGTCAGCTGCAATATATCAGCCTTTATTTGGTGCATATAGCTGGAGCATACCTCTTAAAGTAAGTGCTCCTGAGCTCACATTCTTCTAAAAAGGCATATATGTAAATTTATAAAAAGTATTTTAGTTTCCCTCCTTTTCTTCGCATTTCTTTGAATTCAATTTTGCTAGGTGAGTTACCCTTTCAAAAGCTGTTTCTTGCAGAAGTCTGATTTGGATGTGAAAATAGCTGTTTGTTTACATCCTGTTCAGAATACTATAACGTGCTTTGTATGCATTTGAAATGATTATTAATTGCTTTTATTATGTTTATTTACACCCCGCTTTTTATCACAAGGAGATTCAAAACATCTTCCAGAATATGTTCAGAAACTTCACTTGGCATAAAGAATTGCTACCAGATTGTTGATTGGGGCTGGCTAAGGGAAGCACATAACCCCCTTGTAGTAAAGCCCCACTGAAAACACTTCTGTTTCTGGGCACAATTCAGAAACTTATATGCCTTGGGTCCGGGCCTTGGGTAAGACCCTGTATAAGCCTGTTAGAACTTCCAACATCTCTTTTCTGTGTTCCATTACCTTCTAATCTTGTTGGATATGAACAAGAAACCTTCCAAACTTTTGCACTTTCTTCCTTTGGAAACTTGGATGGCTTGCTTGTTAACAAGGAAACCACAGATCCTGGGCTCTCTTGTCATCACTCAGGATTTTTCTTCTTCATGCGAACATTACTCTTCTCACCCACAAGAATCAGTAAAGAGGAGGAGGAAAGGGGGGAAAGATGACAACTCCCTTGACTGGCTTATAAGTCCATTTAACACCCATAATTAAAGAGCAGGGAAGCTGGACAATCAGGACTACAATGTCTATTCATCAACCTCGTTCCTGGCTAGGCTATCAGGCTATGCAGCCAACATGGGGACATACCAAACATTCTTCAGGAACAAGGTAGCCCCATCATCTCGAGAAGCTCCTGCACACCGTTATAGAACTGTAGCTTAATTATGTGTTTTTGCAGGGCTTGTGAAGGTTCATGTGATGTGTGCTTATGTGATGTGTCCTACTTTCTTTGGAGAAAGAATTAGCAAACACTACAGAATTAGCAAACATTACAAATGCATATTTACTTGATTTTTGAATATTTTACTGTTTGTGTTTTTGTTACTATAGAGTTGTAAAGTGTGTGTTAAACTGTGTTGATCATGACACAGCTTGACAATAAGGACGAATATTGGGGATGGAGATGGCCAGGGTGATGTGGCTGGAGAGAAAGTTCATTAAATATTGGTCGCTTTATCAGACTAAGCATTTGTCTTCCATTTTTCCAGCCTCACACGCCTGGGACTAATCTTGCTACTACTGCAGTACGTGGCTGAATTCCTCTTCCACATGGCTCGCCTTTTCTATTTCACAGATGAAAACAATGAAAAGCTGTAAGTGCTTTGGAGTGTTCTTGAGCTGAAGATACACTTTTCCTTTTCATGGTTGGGCACAGCTTCTGAAGGCGACTAGCAAAGTTTTCACCGATTCCTTGGGCAGATTCCTCAATCTAGTAACTGTTGCGTTTTGGATTTAAAATCACATAATGATAGCTGCTAATATAATTGTTAAATAGCAGTGGTTCTCAACCTGGGGTCCTCAGATGTTTTTGGCCTTCAACTCCCAGAAATCCTAACAGCTCGTAAACTGGCTGGAATTTCTGGGAGTTGTAGGCCCAAAACATCTAGAGACCCCAGGTTGAGAACCACTGGGCTAGAGGCTTCTCACAACAAGAATTGTATATTTTATGTACCTGTTAAATCTGATACAAATCTTGGAATTATGGGATTCTCTGCTTTCTTTATGGCCTAAATATCATTAGCCTTCCTTTCCCCAAATGCCTTTTCATCAGGGTATGTTTTTGCAGTTACCTAAGACTTTTCTATTTCAAAAAAAGTAAGAAACAAGCTTACTTGCTGTGCTTAATATCAAAGAAAGGCATATATATAGGCAGGAAAGCAGATGGAAGTAAACAACACCTCAATCAATGCAGAACACCAGCCAAATATTCCTTCTACTTTCTAGAGCTGGTGGTTCAGTGAGCTCACTATAATAAGCAATTAACTAACTATTCTATGTGCGTGCTTATTATTGGTAGATCTCCATAATCAGCAGCCAAGGTTAATTACCTTGAGTTGCATGATATTGTGATGCAGAAGCCGATTGTTACCTTCTGAATACATTTGGACTGTGACTGCGTGTTGGTGATTGTAGGACCACACAAGAATGGTATATTTTCACTTGCAGTGGCTAGTAGTGAAATGAATTTCTGTTTCTGTTTGTAAGGTTCCATGCATGGGCAGTGGTGTTTGTCATCACTCGGCTTTTCACTCTTACCCTTTCTGTGTTGGTCATTGGTTTTGGATTGGCTCGGGAAGAAAACCAAGCGTTTGACCCTGAGAAAGGAAATTTCAACACTTTGCTTTTGAGGTAAGACTTTTATTCCAACAGCCAAAGAAAGGATGGTTTTAGCACGTAGGGGATTAGGGATTCGAATTCATCCATTTGGCACTTACAGTAGTGCTGGTGCAAATATATGTCCTCCTTTTCAGTGATTTAGAATGGGAGCCAGATGCAGGGTTAGATGTTCTGTCTCCTGTCTCTGTGTTTCCCATCCTTGTTTTAAACACAGCTACATATTAAAGAACCGTCTTTGGTTAGTATTTGAAATCAGTGTTATATTAAGAAATCTTGTTCTGTGATTGTTCTGACATAGTGGTTACCAGTGATTAAGGCTACCTGAAGAAGAGATGGTAAACATTTCTTCCAGGGGATAATGGAGGGATCTCCAGACTCTCATTTAGTTCAGTTACTTTACCTTAGGAATGCATGATGTTTCTGATAAATAATCAGGTACATTAGACAGATAACCTTCTTCATCCTATTATTACCATCAAAATTGGGTGGGCATTTAAAACACTACTAAATACTGTGACCTATTACTTTTATGTGGTAATGCACAGGATTGATGTATCTTTAATATGAGATTCTTTGTTTTTTAAAAAAAGAGTTGTCCTTCACAATAGCAACAGTAATAAATTTTTGTGTGAAGAAGCCTTGTTTTGAAGCTTTTATGGATAGCTTGCTGTAAATCAAAATAAAGGTCTTTATCAATATTTTAGTTTGTTGGGCAGAGAAAGATTTGGGCTACTGGAAAGATGACTCAGGAGCAGATTAGTTAAATCCATATGGATTATTTCATTGGTTTGGAGGCCTGAGGTGCGTCCCTTTGATAGCTCCTTAGAAGTTATTGGGTGGGCCATAGTTCATTCCCAGCCTGCCTCTCTTGTCTTCTCCCAGGATGTGTGTGTTGCTTCTGGTGTGCTTCTCGCAGGCCTGGATGATGTGGCATTTCATCCACTTCCAGCTACGGCGCTGGCGGGAGTACTGGAATGAACAGAGTGCGAGAAAAAGAACTGCAGCCACTGTCCATGCCAAACAGCAACTGAAGGCCATGAAAAGGGAGTCTGGTGAGCATCATGCCTGATTCTATGTGTGTCAGTTATATAAACCACTGAAAAAATATTTCTATCAATTACACGGATTTATTAAATAGCAGATCAATTTTTAAATGATATTTTGAAACAAATATCAAAATTGCAAAAGTGTAAGAGCTGTTCCACAGTGGAACTCTCTGCTTTGGAGTGTGGTGGATGATTCTTTGGAGGCTTTTAAACAGGCTGCGTGGCCATCTGTTGTGGATACTTGGATCGTTCTTTTCCTGCATGGCAGGGGGTTGGACTGGATGTCTCGTGGGATCTCTTCCGATTCTACTATTCTATTTAATATCCTGTGTAAAAGAGATGGTGGAATCTTAAGAGGTGCATCTACCATTGTTTAGAGCATATAGAAGAATATGCGCCCTTTTCAACTTACTGTAGTGCAGCCAATGATTATGCCTGGTACTCATGTTAATGTGGGCATAGGTCATAGGGATTCTGGGCCTGTGAGCCATAATGAGATTTTAAGTCCTGAAAATGAGCAGTCTGGTGCAGTGGAGCTGTTCTCTAGGGAAAAGAGTTCAGAGGCTGAAATCCCAGGAGCAGAAAATGAGTTGCAAGATAATGATCTGGTAGATAGGAGGCTTAGTTTTCACAAACTTTGGGCTGCTCAGCAGAACCTCCTAAGGTCACAGTGCTTCTTACAGAAGAAACCCGTAGCAGAAACTCATGGGAGGAGGCACAACTTCATGTCTTCATTAGAGGGGCCAAGATTGTTTCCTGGCCAGTCTGGTCAACATTGGTAATTGAGACAACAAGTCCTAGTCAAACTTTCTAGTTTCATGTCTTTGCTCCTGTTTCATGCTTCCAAGTTTGAAGGATTGTTCCTGGATTTTTATATTGGATTTTATGCTGCCTTGCATTTCTTGGTTTCCTTGCATTCCTATGCTGGATGTCCTGTTGCGTTAGGATTTTGAATTACTTTTGTATGTTGAACCTTGTGGACTATTTTACACATGTAAATGTTGACGTTTTTACTATTTTTGCTGAAGTGCTTTTTATATAATCTTTGCTGATTTAACTTGGACTGGAGCATGGTGGTTAAGTACAGAGGTGTTTCCCGGCCTGGAGTGCAACAAAACTGTTGTTTTCATTAACATGTTAATATATGTGGATTTTATTTATATTTTTAAACATTTACTTGATTTGTGTGCCAGCCTTCCATATGAAAGACATACAATTAATTATGATTATTTTAATAAGGTGACAATCCTACTTTAGACTTGTTCTGGTTGCTTAGGTTTTTTTTTTTTCCTGTGAGATAGATGCTAATGGCAAATGGGGCCAACTTCAGTGGGGCCAGCTGCAGGATTCTGTTGTGGTGTATCAGTGGCCTAAATATGCCCACCAACTTCCCTGCAGTTTTTGTCACCATGATTCTGTGGCAAGTGATCAGATCTGATAGTTCAGAAAGTAGTTCACAGTCACAGGAAGTTGCTGATGTGCTGTTGTAAATTGGACGAAGTCCCAGGACAACATAGAGCAGAGGTGTTGAATTTGTGGACATCCAGGTGTTTGGGCCTCCAACTCCCAGAAGGCTTATCCAGCTTGTTCAGTAATTGTAGGAGATGAAGCCCAAATACCTGGAGGGTCACAAGTTTGACACCACTGATATATAGGGTTCAACATCCTGTTGTTTTCTTTGAAAAGCTAAAAGCTAATTGTCTTTTTTGTCCCCTTACTCATCATAGGTTACCATGAAAATGGAGTTGTAAAAGCAGAAAATGGTACCTCACCGCGGACCAAGAAACTCAAGTCTCCATAGAGCCAAACCCCCGCTTGCAAGAGATATTTTGACGAGGATGTGGCAAAAGTGAGATGGAGGACTCTGGGAAGAGGAACATATTCCTCTCTTTTGGCCTTACCAAGTTCCACCTCAAGTAGCTTGAAGACACATTATGGAATTATCTCATTTTCTCTTTATCAGTTGCGAAAACCAAAAAAACCTTCTCCTTTTATATTGAGGTTTAAGAACACCAAACACTTACTCCATTTGGTGTATTACCTTATTGTGTATTTTTTCCTCTATCCTTCAACATGCTTTTTTGCCTCATTTTCCTTTACTTGGAAACATTTGACAGGCATTTCTTTTCTCCAGAAATCCATTCCTTACTCCATCCACTCTTCCTTTCTGATTGCATCTAGCAATACTTTCTACTGGAGACAGAGCAAATATTTAGGGTGCTGCAGGTCCTACCAACAGTGAGAAAAATGTGCAGTGCATATTTCAGAGAGTGAAACATTAACCTGTGACTTCTGTTGAATTCTGTAAAGTTAGGCAGATTCAAGCATCTTTTGTATGCTTCTTCTGGCTAACATAAAATAGATTTGCTAATGTCTTAGCAAGAATGGAAATCCTCTTAAAACACCAAAATGATGACCTGCTGGCCTAACTCTTAGTATGTGTGTGGAGCACTTTCAATCTCCACTCGCTCAGATAATTTTGCTTAACCTACAGTGCCTTAGTGAAGGGAGCAGTGTCATCATTAATTCAAAGCCATTCAGGCAATATAGCATGGTCTCTATACAAGTACCCTGTGTTTCACCTACCTGACAAATGTGTCCTCTCTGGGTCCTCCAGGTGATTCTATGGTATGCTTCCAATGAAGGAAGTTGTTCCAAGACAACTCCATGGAGTTGTCTTGGAACACCTAAAAAAATCCTAGAATGTCTTAGGTCCTTCAGGGTGCTTCTGTGGTAACTTTTGCAGAAGATGCCCATTTCAGTAGGGTTTGCTTTTATCCACAGATTCCTATTTTCACAGTAAGTTCAGAAATATATCCTCCCTTGGATAGGGTTCATACTCTACATAGGTCTTTACATATAGCCTCTGGCTTTTTTATTGAACAATGGGACAGCTTCCTTAAATCATTTATTCCTAAGTAGCAGTGTTCTTCAACATAATGGTGGTGTGATTTGCACGCCTGAGCCCAACCAAACACAGGATAGCAATATTGTTGTGCATGTAGTATGGCCCTATTCATATTTACTCAGAGATATGCCCCACTACAGTCAAATGAATTTCCATCCTAGCAATTGCCCTTTGGGATTGCAACCTTTGGCTTTTATCGTTTCCACATCTCCCTCTTCATAACTTTTGCCTAAGAGGATCTGTGGCTGTCAATCATATTCTTCCCCTGCTAATGAGACTTGCATGGGTTGTTTCCTAATAATTTGCCTGAATTATGTATATGATAAGAGGGAAATTTTTGAATAAGGGGGGATTTCTCCAGCTATTTGGCCATCATTTCCTAAAAGGTGGTGATTAGTGTTAAGTATGAACTCTACCTCAAAGGCCACTGCTTTCTGTTTTTATTTTCATTGCTTTTTGCTCTTAAAACAGAATTAGAAGTGACACAGGAATGATGGGTTATTTGTACTGCCGTACTGTTTCCTTTTTTAAAAGGAATATCCTTAGTTAGCTGAGGTTCATTCAGCAGATTTAGATCTGAGTACTATGATTGTCCTAAGGGCCACCTTGAGATCAAATGCAACTGGGTACATTATGAATGTTTTCTCTGTGAAGCTCCCCTGAATTTTAGATCATCACTTAATCCAAAGAAAGGACATTTTCTCTCTCTTCTTGGCCATACCTTTTTAATAGATTTTTTTTTCTTTAGAGCTCTCCTTTTATTCCTTGATGCAATAGCAGTTCTGATTGGTACACATTAAGGACAATTCGTTTTTCATGAGGGAACAGGGTTATGGAATGATGGGACTGTTAATTCACAGTAGTGAATACTTCTTCATTTTACTGAAAGTTAGCCTTGTGGCTGATGCAAAACAACAACAACCTCAGGCCAATGAGAAGCACCCATTTTACAGGTTTTTAATTATTTTAGCAAATTTGGAATCTGTTAGTAAATGATAAAGATTTCATTTTCAGGTTGTTTTTCCGTTCCTATTTCATGTTCCTAAACTAAGTGCAACTTGTGATTCACAACATCAGCCATGTGTTGCAAGTCATCAATTACTTTTCTCTGGAGATACGTACCTGATAGATTGCTGTTAAACCATAGTGTGTAGCTGGTAAGGTTAAGCCATCTTGATGGGTCCCAGGCGCGGGGCTGCACTAAGGAGTGTTAACTACATTATGAGATGAACAAAACTGCCTAAATTGCTTATTGCATTTGACTGATCTGGCACTGTGTGCAGCTCTTTCCTCGCCCTTTTCCTGTGCATTCTAGTTCTGCTTGCACTTTTTGGAAAGTATTATGCTGATTTTTTTTCTCCTCTTCAGATCCTTGGAATATTTGAGCTGAAGCAAATTTTCCCACATTGTGCCTGTCACCTCTAAGCTCTTGTTGAGTCCCAAATATACCTCATCTGTATTAATTTCTATATGTAGGAGTGAAGGGGTTAAACTGAATGGTGCTATGTAAGTCAGGTGGGGTGTGATCAAGTTAGTATGGTGGAGCAGTGAACCAGTTCTGTCAGTACAACCTGTTGGAAACCAAAGACATAGCCATGTTAGGCTGAATCGGTATGTGAAGGGATTTTGTAGCATTTTTGAAACTGAAAAACTTAAATGTGTGAAAGCTTTTGCTACTAACTTCTTTTACTTCAGTTAGGTCCCATCAGCACTGCCGTATAATGAAGTTTCAGAATACAGATTACTTGCATTCAGCTGGATTATATAGCAGTGTAGACTTATATAATCCAATGCAGTTCAATCTGCATTATATGACAGTGTAGGTGGAGCCTAGGTCTGAAACATGATACAAGATCCCTTGGCATACTGATGGAAACAATCCTGCTTTCCTTCTGCCACCCTCCTTGCTACAAGGAATTGGACACTATTCCAAAGACAGAGATCACAGTTCTACATTGGGAGCTATTCCCATTTCATTTGGATCTTGAGCTAATGTGACTGAACTCACATTTATCAAAGGGGTTTTGCCTGTTTTGCAGCAAACACCAGTCTAACATCTTCCAAGGCTTTTCAGAGGATTGCAATAAAACCGGCAGAAAATAGTCTTCCACTAGCTCAATTTGCTCAATTACCTTTGTCATGCACAAGGTTATTATGCCACAGTATAGTGTATTTACAGTTTTTGAAAGTGCCTTACATTGCCTTTAGTACTTTTTTATCTTTCATTTATGCCTTTCTTGTATGTTTGATACGTTTCACGTATATACACTAGTTAGCTTTTTATAAAAGGGACAGTCTTTGCTAAACAGAATTGCCTCAGTTTCTATGCCATTTTGACTTGTCAGTCAATCCTTCTTGGTAACTACAAGCTTTCTTCTCATTGGAGGACTGCTAGATATATTACTATTTGTTCTGGTATAGCAAAATACCATACAAGCCATACAATTTCTCTCTTCCTTTGCAGAGCAATTTGTTTCCTGCTTTTAATTTCAGGTAACTATTTCTAAAATCGCAGAAAGCGCAAGAGTCCAATTTCTGTTCTGAGGTCCTCTAGCAGAAAGTGCTGTTGACCGAACCTTTATAGCTAGTTTTGCGATTTTGCTGTGGATGCATTTTGTATAGTCTGTGTTTGTGGAAGCTGCAATTTATAAGGGAGGGTGCATATAGCTGTCTCCCCTTGTTTCACTTTTCCACTGAAAATTGCCTTCCACAAATCCACTGCTTTCACACTTCAAAGGGAAAAGATGCAGACTTATTACAGTAGAAGTAAAGGCAGCTTGTGAACAGACATCTGGGGGAATCTTCCCAAACCTGCACAGGTAGTCTGTCTTGGCCACCACATGTCTGTGTGCAAACATGTGTGAAAATTGCTTTCCAGAAGCATCACATAATGTTATGTACATCTGTTTCCACCTGAGATTCTGTATGCGGAGAGGAAAACAGGCATAGCCTTGTTCATATAGAAATGAACCAGGGTTGCATTGCAATGGCCTTTAAGGCTGGCTAATTTAAAAGTTTGCCAAGGTTTGATATGCCTTGGAAGTAATGTCACTATGGGAAAGGAATTAGGATGGTTCATCTTTAATGTGATCAGGTTTCTGTGAGGGAGGTGACATATTTGTTTTGAACGTACCAATGTTCCTCTTCTCTGTATGGAGAAAGGGAATCTCATAGTCCAGTGGTTCTCAACCTGTGGGTCCCCAGGTGTTTTGGCCTACAACTCCCAAAAATCCCAGCCAGTTTACCAACTGTTAGGATTTCTGGGAGTTGAAGGCCAAAAACATCTGGGGACCCCTGGTTGAGAATCACTGTCGTAGTCCTTCCTGTCTGTCCTGTCCTAGATGTCTCAGAAGATCCGTAGCAGCATTTTCAGGTTCAGCAATAAACTTTCCAAAGCTCAGTACACAGATCTATCCACAGCAGGGCATTATTTTAAAAACAGCTTAATCTGGAGTTTGTGTTTAACTACTCATCTAGTAAAACGGTTAAGAAAAGTGAATTTCCTTTCACTGTCCTGCCCACTGAAATTTAATGTGTTTAGTGCACACTTCTGAAACAAAATGCAGAAGCTGGATAAAAAAATGAGTTGTGAGGATTTCAGTACAGATTGACTTTTTGTTGCTAACTGTTGCTAATGGTGAAAAACAGCTATTCTATGGCTATATGTAGAAGATGATTTTGTGTCTTCCAAAGGAACATGCGTCATTCTAAAAACACAGCTACATCAGGATTATTAATTGCTCAATATGTTTTGTTAATCTTCAGTACTGTTACCATTTTTATGCAAAACGACAACAGGGAGGGATATACCTGCAAATCGTGTATGTACATGGCTGTCACAAATGTCTCTAATTTTAGTCCAAATTTAAACTGGGAACCTGCTTTTCTATTTTTAAGTTTAATATGAATGGTTCCTGGAAGGAAAGACAACAGTTCTTTTCCAATTTTACTTCCTGGTATATTTCAATTCTGCCCCTGACAATTCAAGGTTGTATTTTTGTGTATAGATTTTTATTGTTGTTAATCCAGTTTTTATAAAAAGCTATCTGTGACACAATATTTTCTGAAATAAAAAAGCATAGAATGATCAAAAATGTTAATTCAAGAACTGTTACACAGACACTGGTAAAAATCCATCTCTTCAGAAAACATGGCTTCTTCTTGAAGGTTGCTATAGTAAATGTGCCCTTATGACATTGTGGTTAATCTCCAGTTTCTCTTCCTGAAATAGAGCAACAGCTTTAGAACTGGTAAAGGCTATAGAATGGAGATGACCGGTTCAATCCCTAGATCACCCTCTTTTCTGAGATCGTTTTAGCCAGAAAAAACATGTTCTGTCAGTATTTGCCTACAAAACGAGGTTAAAGGAAAGGATATTTTAGATAATTTCATATGGATGTTTCTTTGATAAGCAGCGTAACCTACAAAGGACACTCCATTCCTAGAGTGAGGCATACATGGGTGCAGAGTTCTGTTCCATTCTGCAGTTGACAATCTCATGTTTCTTCACACTGCCTGACACTAATAGTAGCAGGATTTTGAAACATCTCCTGAGAAGATGTGGAGTGCTCATTCATAATAAAAAGTCCTACTTCCTGCAAAGGCCAACTCCAAAAATTTGGCTGCCAGAGCAAAGAGCACATCTACCTTCTCCAAATCAAAGTGCACAGCCACAGGAAGAAATGCTGATCAATTTTTTGTGTGTGCTCAAAACAGAAAATCCCATATGCTTCCCTTCTGTCAATAAAATTGCAACACTACTAGCAGGAGGTGGCTGTCACATAGACTTGATTGCACAGCCTGACCAAAAAATATCTTGGAGTCTTGATTTTGGGGCCTGTTCCTGTGGTTATTTGTGTGCTGATTCAGACTGTATCAGCTCTAATTCCTTAGATACGGTTATAATTATTTTCTATGGGCAAGCAGACGGCAACTGGTAGATGGCATATGTTCTCTATCTCAAAAACTAGAATAAGGGATAAAAGAAACTTGTGCCATTTTGGAATCAATACATCAAATAGACCCAGAAACAGCTAACATTTGAGGCACCCAAATGTATGTAGGCCAGTGGGAGTTCTAGCCATGTTACAAACTGCTCTCAACCTGAAAACTGTTCTGTTGGATGACAGAGACTAGACCAATACTCAAGAATGATCACCTTTTAATACACATTGATCTATAAGGTTTCTGCTTCTTGTATTTTTTCATGGCAATTGGCACTGGAAAGCTTTCAGAAAGCTGGGATATTTTATCTGGTCTTCCCCATGAGAACACAGTTTGATAAGCTGGAAGAGAAAAGCAAGAGATGCCAAGTGATTGAAAAACTGGAAATGCTATTGTTTCATTAGGCTTAAAATTTGTTGGCTATCATTATAGAAAAAAATATGCATGGCTTCCCCATGGATGAAGAACTGATTACCCATAGTTAGTGGAAACAGATTGCTTCTTTTCCTTCTGTGAGAAGCATTCTGTGAACAGATATGTTGGATTTCTAGCATATGTACCCAAAGTGCTATATATACTGCAACACATGTTTTCTCCCATCAGATATTTCTGTGATGGATCGACAAGTGACCAATATAATGGTTGGGGAATATTCTCTGTTCCATTTCCCAAAAAGAACATTTCTAAGATCACCTAACCTTCCTCCTACCAAATCACAGACCAGGGTTTGAGGGTCAAAATATGACCAACACACATAACTATCCTCAGCTAGGTCTCAATAAGACATGCATTTCTTTCAGTCCCCATTATTTACATAGTTGTTCAATGAACAGAAATACTAGGTCAGTTACAACTCTTCAGATATAAAGGTCTACTGCACTGAAAGAAATACAACAAACATGTTTGGCTTACTCTTCTGTGTGATTTGGTCAGGGTAAAACTTGAATTTTTCCTCAGTATGTATACATGGCTTTTAAAGTACACAAGTACCAAACTTTGATTTTAAAAAATTATGAAATAATACAGTATCAAAATAATTACTGAAGAAGATTGTAATGGAGGAACATTTTAAAGCCTCTAATAAATCCAAATCCATTGAATTAAACATCCTTAAAAAGCAGACCGCAGTCTTCACCTGGTGCCAAAAAGTAAGGGATAGTTTCCCCAAGGAGCAGATTCCAAGGGTATGTACGATATAAGAAAGAAACACTACACTGGATATATGGTCTAGAGGCATTCTCTCCTGACATTTTGCCTACATCTATGGCAAGCATCCACAGAGGAGCAAAAAAATTACTACACTGGAGGGAAGTATTAAGTTGGTTAAGGAAGCAACATACTCAGCATTATTCCATTCCCTGAAATACTAACATTTCTGCAGCTTTCCCCCATTAATAAAAAAAGCAACCTGGGAAACGACTTTACTTTTCCAGCAGCGGGAGTTTAAGCTTCTGCTTAGTACTGAAATGGCAGAACGGTGTATGAGCTGCAGAAAGTAAGACCTCTTCCCGCACAGAAGGTGGTTTGCCCTGTTCCAAGGAGGTCCAGATAAATCCTTGCTTCATTCCTGAGCTTCATTCATTCCAGTAAGGCTCCCATTTTACCTTCTAGTTACAAAATGCTGGCTGCAGTTCAGTCCAGTCTACAATGTTTTCAAATGCAGTTTTCTACCTTTCTTCTAACTCAGAGCTTCTTAAATTGTGGGTCCTGATCCCAAATGTTGTCCTCTTAGCTCAGTGCAGGGGTTGTGAAAGGCTTCGCTGCTCCCACCACAACCACAAACACAGAGGAGTGGCAACTGCTCCTTCTCTTGAAGGAAGGAAATAAAAAGCCCAGCTCAAACTGCTAAGGGAAGGGAAACAGGCCTAACTAGACAACCAACCACATGGAGGAGAGTGAAAAAAAGTAGGCAGGGTAACATGGGAGGAGGAAGAAGAGGCAATGGAATACTGCCATTATCTTCAGGTATTTACTGCCCTTCCTTCTCCCCAAACTCACTCCCTTGCTTGAAGGAAATTTGATGTTTTTTTTTGTATGCACCTTGATTTTTGAGTTTGGCTTGCAATATTATTATTATTATTATTATTATTATTATTATAACTTTATTTGTACCCCGCTAGCATCTCCCGAAGGATTCGATGCGGCTTACAGCAGGCCGAAGCCCAAAAACAATACAACAATACAATACATAGCAAATAAAACAGTCAAGCAAAAACAGTGACAATAGCAACACGACAAGACATTATTAAAAACTGAGTCGGCCGAAGTAGGGTACAGGGTTAAAAGTGCTGATGTGTCGGAGGGGTGTGGGATTATATTAAAAGTGCGGTGTGCAGTGTGCGGTGATCTTGGTAACTAAAGTGCTTCTGGGATTTGGTCCTGGGAGATTCCTAATCTGAAAAGGCACATTGGAACAGCCAGGTTTTCAAATTCTTTCAAATATTATGAGCCCATTGCACCAACAAATTCAACCATTCCCACTTCAATATAAACGTTTCCATTTTATATAAGGGACATCATTTTACCACACCCTTGCATATCATGGGATTTGAACATCCAAGGGTATCCACTGAAGGTCCTGAAACCAAATGCCAGCAGATGCTGAGAACCACTGTGTTTTACTTTAAGGGTTTATTTTTACATACTTTGAAGTTAAGTATGCCCTAAATATTATTGCTGTGGTACAACTGGTCTTCCATATCCACAGATTTAACCCTCCAACATTCAAAATATGTTTGATTTGTATGCCTATTTTATATACAGTAGAGTCTCGCTTATCCAACCTTTGCTCATCCAACGTTCTGTATTATCCAACACAGTCTGCCTCCTGTCCAGATCCACAGTTGTTTCAATACATTGCGATGTTTTGATGCTTGTCATGTCAGAGCAACCAGTCCACTACATTACATTTATTATATTTATTATATGACATGTTTTGATGCTAAATTCATAATACAGTAATTACTACACAACATTACCATGTATTGAACTGCCTTTTCTGTTAATTTGTTGTAAAACATGATGTTTTGGTGCTTAATTTGTAAAATCATAACGAAATTTGACATTTAATAGGCTTTTCCTTAATCCCTCCTTATTATCCAACATTTTCGCTTCTCCAACGTTCTGCTGGCTCGTTTATGTTGTATGATAAGAAAAAAAGATGGCAGGGACCTAACAGAAGCTGAAGAGATCAAGAGAAGGTGGCGAGACTATACAGAAGATCTGTATAGGAAGGATAATAATATTCGAGGATAGTTTTGACGGTGTGGTGAATGAATTAGAACCAGACATCCTGAGGAGTGAAGTTGAATGGGCCTTAAGAAGCATTGCTAACAACAAGGCAGCAGGAGACGACGGGATCTCAGCTGAACTGTTTAAAATCTTAAAAGATGATGCTGTCAAGGTGATGCATGCCATTTGCCAGCAAATATGGAAAACACAAGAATGGCCATCAGACTGGAAAAAATCAACTTATATCCCCATAACAAAAAAGGGAAATGCGAAAGACTGCTCAAACTTCCGTACAGTGGCCCTTATTTCACATGCCAGTAAGGTAATGCTCAAGATCCTGCAAGGAAGATTCCAGCAATACATGGAGAGAGAGTTGCCAGATGTTCAAGCTGGGTTTAGAAAAGGCAGAGGAACGAGAGACCAAATTGCCAATATCCGCTGGATAATGGAGAAAGGCAGGGAGTTTCAGAAAAACATCTATTTCTGCTTCATTGACTATTCTAAAGCCTTTGACTGTGTGGATCATAATAAATTGTGGCAAGTTCTTGGTGGGATGGGCATACCAAGCCACCTTGTCTCTCTCCTGAGGAATCTGTACAAGGACCAAGTGGCACGTTCTGCTGGCCTGTTTATGTTGGATAAGCGAGACTCTACTGTACATACATACCCCAGTTTCACATAAAAAAATATTGGGTAAAAAGGGGTCGCCAGGTTTAAGAAGCATGTATACAAAAAAGATACAGCTTTTCTGCTAGAGTTAAGATACACTAACTAGTAATTACTGCTATAACTATTTACCTGTTGAAAAATGGGGTCATCAATAGGCACTTTAAAATGGTCACAGAGAGCACAGAACTCTCCTTTGTTCAGTAGGCCTGTGCCATTTTTGTCTAGCTCAAGAAAGGCTGCATGCATGTTGCTGTCTGGCAAGTAATTATGTCGCCTCATATGTTCCTGTATCTGTTCAATTAATGCATCCAGCTCCTGTGTATAAGACTCGTGTGAAGGTATTCTGTATGGAGACAAAGATTCTGTTATTGAACTATGAATGTATAAAAGATGGGTAGTTTTGATTTGATGGTATAACTGCAAAATCTTTCCTCCCTGCCTTCAGAGAGTGAAAATCTTAAGAACGAACAACAAGGAAGTGAGAAGATCCAAGAAAAAGGGGAGATATGTGGCTGATGTGGATAAGAGAAAACTTGACCATATTCTATTTATTGACCATACAAATACAGGGCAAACATTGTTTGTTTAATGCATCTACAATCTTTCAAGTAAAGAGAACAGTTTTTTAAAACATGGTGATAGTGGTAGGTTGCATTCTGACAAGCAATAATATGTTCTCTCCCTTCTGGGGCCTTTATTTCTATCCTCTAGTGCAAACATTTAAAACAAAAGGTCCAAAAACCAAATCTGGCCCAAGGGACTTTCAATGCTTTAATGTAAGCAACATGAAGTTCACACATTTCCCCTAAATACCAGCTTAAAATTCATCACCAAATATGAGTTTACTAAATTTGTAAGTAATCATCTTATCAATTAAGCTTATAAAATAAACTTTCCAACCCTGCAAATCACAAATCTCTTTAAATCATCAACAACAAGAGCAGTAGTTAAACACACGGTCTCAGAGTCTGATGGAGTCTCCTCTGGAGGTTTTTAAACAGAGGATGAATGGCCATCTGGCAGGAGTGCTTTGACTGATTCTTCCTGTATTGCAGAATGGGTTGGACTGGATGGCCCTGAGGGTCTCTTCCAACTATATGATTCTATGAACAACTGTAAATTTCAAAACTTTCATACTGCATTCTGATAGGCATTAACATTTTCTGGTTAAAGTACATGATTCCTCAAATTGAATTGTCATAACAACATCTGTCACACAAACTGTTAACATCTGTTAACACCCATTAACAACATCTGTCACACAAACAATACCTGAGATGGATTAAATGGAACAAACTGGACAAGCTTGTTTGCAATAATTTCTCCCCTACTACATTTTACTGCTGGTTTTTCAGCAGCAAGATATTTTAGTGTGGTGGTCTACATTGGAGATGGACTAGGTACAGCATAGCTGGAAAAATGCATTTGTGTGCTCCCCAACAGGAAACACTCCTATGCATGTAAAAATGAGCAGAACAGGGAGAAAAGTTTAGCATTATGCCTCTGAAATCATTTTAAATATAACCAATGCCATTTCCATCTTCAGCAATTTCTTTCTAATAACAAAAAACAGGCATACTATCTGCTTTTCTTTCTCCTTTCTGAGTAAAGTACATTATGCAGACATGACACATTGATTAGTTATTGTTTATCTTGGTTAAGTCTGAGTAAACATGAGTCTAACTGTTGCAGAATTAAAACACAAACAGAAACAACAGATGATGAGCCCTCCTGCAACAACATTAATCTCATCCAGTATCCTGTTTCCCATTGTACCAGACAGATACTTTCTTTCAGATTTACAAATAAGACAATAGTCTTCTCCTGGTTTGTATTTTTGTGGCCCCAAAACAGATAAAGGAACCATAGCCTATGTTTCTCTCATATGGCTTGAGGCCTGCCTTCACCACAATGAAGGGAATGAGTCTATATAATGTCTACGAAAGCCTCACAGTCACTGTGTCATGCTAAGAAATCCAAACAAACTAATGACTAAAATCTCAATATTTTCTTTCGGAGCTCACTTTTTTAGTGCTTCTTTTGCTGCCCGGCGAGGTGCAAAGTGATTCCTCATAGACTCCACAACAGCTGCTGGGAAGCTCTCCAAATTTTCTTCAATATAATTCATGACATATTCATCAACATCTACAATGATGAACCTGTGGCCAAATACTGGATGAAAGAGAACCAATAAATAATTATCATGAATACTGTTCACAATACTTCCAAAAACAAAAGAATTGTTTATTGATAACATATTCAAGTACATGGCACAAAACACAAAGTCATTTCAGATCAGAGCCCACAATTCACCTCCCAATTTTGGAAACTATTCTTAAGACTGTTGGGGATAGAGCAAGCTATGAGGATTGCTTATCACCCTAGAAATTATGGCCAAATTGAAAGACTACACCAGATTTTTGAATAATATTTGCACTGCTTCATTAACTTTCAAAAAGACAATTGGTTGGAGTTGTTATCTCTTGCTGAGATGTCCTAAAATAACTATGTACATTCTAGCACTGGACACTCACCATTTGAAATTGAAACTTTCAGGCTTTACCAAATCCTTAAATCAGGGGTCCTCAAACTAAGGCCCGGGGGCTGGATACGGCCCTCCAAAGTCATTTACCCAGCCCTCGATCAGAGTCAATCTAAGTCTGAAACGACTTGAAAGCACACAATAACAACAACAATCCTATCTTATCAGTCACAAGTAGGTCCACACTTCTCACTGAAATACTAATAAGCTTATATTTGTTAAAATTGTTCTTCATTTTAACTATTATATTGCTTTTAAGTGTTTTTTGCACTACAAATAAGATATGTGCAGTGTGCATAGGAATTAATTCATGTTTTATTTTCAAATTATAATCCAGCCCTCCAACTGTTTGAGGGACTGTGACCTGGCCCTCTGTTTAAAATGTTTGTGGACCCCTGCCTTAAATCATCCAGTCTGGCCCTGTGGCATTATTGGACTGTGCACTGCCTGGTCTTGCATAGAGGCATTGGAACTTGCCAAAGAGATATACAAAAATTGTAAGTGGATTAAAAATATGGGTAGTGAATTGGAGTTTAAAACCTGGACAGTTTTGCTTATTTATCTGCAAGGTGTTCAAAGATTCAGCAACTGTCCAAAAAACCTAGCTTTGAAATAAGTGGACTCTTTTGTGGTCAAGAGATTAATTAATTCTGTGTTGGCTGAGTAAATCTCCCAAACAACTATAAACATTTGCATCCTGTCATTCATTTCAGCTTGTTGAAACCTGTGCTAGAGTCAAACCTGTCGAATTCAAGCAAAACTCCACCCCATCATTGATGACTGACAGAGATCAATACTTAATATTGGATTCTTATATCTATCAAGGAAAACTACAAAACTTTATTAAAGAGAAAAATTTCAGCTCGGATGATTGTGAGTGGAGTGACTCCAAAAATGCTCAATCCCTAATCCTAACTTAGAAAATTCATGCTAAATATACAGTGAAGTCTAAGCCACTCAAATTATTTGCAGGGGAATGTTTATTTTCAAAGGTGCAAATCTCAGGATTCTATCCTTAGATCCTGCCATGATCTTCATTTTTCTGTCATGTGCTGGTGTTTTGTATAACCACAGTGGCCACTAAGGCTATGTCAAACATGCTTTGGTTTTTTACTGCATTACCATATATATTCAGCTATAGCTATACACACTGTACATTATTTAATGTTCAAATATGTAATTGCGAATCGGGGTATATGAGAAAACAGCTTGTTAGAAAAGCAATTGCTTTCTGGAAGCTGGAATATTAAAATCTCATTAACAGGCACATCAAGTTTGAGTTAATTGGTGGTTTTTGTTTGGAGAAGAAACTACCCAAGGTCTTTCTCAAGTGCAAGTTGAGAGAGTGGGAACAGAGTAATGTTTTAATTACCTGACCAATGATGAAAAGATTGCAAAATGTTAATATATGTTTCAACAAGTATGGAAATAGCATTTGAAGTATGTGAACTGCACAACCTATAAAATATATGATGCATAGGCTGACTGCCAGTTCTGACAAATAAATGGGATATAGTGAAGAATGAACTAAAACGATTCCATATTTAATTTGAAATATTTACTCTATCTTTTTATTTACCTTCCACTTTCTACATACCTTCAACCATAGCTCCAACTACGAAGTCAGATGGTTCATAATAAACAGGGTTTTCTGTAGAAGATCCTGGCTTGGGAACACGGGTCTTCCCTAGGTATTTGCCCCCAATAATTCCTGAATTACGCACAGGGGGTTCATAGATACTGATCATGTCAGTAGCAAGGCAATAAGAGAGGACAAACTGACGCTTCTCATCCTCAGGGCGTGGCGATTCCTGTAGCAATTTAGAGAAGATGTGAATTAGATAGGTAGTCGCAACTGCTTGAAAACCCACTGCTTTTAAGAAGCTGAAATTCAGAGAAGCTTGCAAACTGGATGGTTTCCAGAAAGCACATCACATATTAGAATGTCTCACCAATCTAGCAGCATAGCGCAACACTTTACGGTCGTTCTCTAGCATCCTAATAATATTTTTCCTAGGTGGTTGTGGAACCAGGCTGAAGCAGTTCTGGAGAGAGTCCTCCAGGAAACCATAACCATTGTAAGGTGGGATTACCTGCAGATTTTAAAAAGCCAAGGAGAAAGAATAATATTTTATTATTATATATTTAATACATATATATCATATTTCTGTCAACATAAGATCAAATGTGGTTTACAGTATAGATTTAACCAAAATATAGGTTAAAAAAGGGAGAGACTCCAATATATTTAGTTACATAGCTGAGGCACTAAGAAACTGTTTGTAAAGTCGAAAGATGCATAATGGGAAACTGGTAAAAGCAAACCAATCTCTAGTCCAGTGGTTCCCAACCTTTTTTTGACGAGGGACCACTCTCCAACATTAGTACCAAAAGGGTTACGAATCAGTTTTTCGTCAACCTCAGAACTGTTTTGGTTATTTGGGGTGCTGATTCAGAAAATTGCATTTGATAGATCACATCAGCTCTAGTTTCTGATATAGAACATATGCCATTCAGTAGTTGCCATTTGTTCGCCCACAGAAAACCGTATTTAATAATCTAGATATGTTGTAGTCTATCCATTGCAATTTTCTGAATCAGCACCACAAATAACCCCAGGTACAGGTCTAAAAATGAAGACACCAAGGTGCCCCTGCTTCCAGGCACCACATGGAACAGCTCCGCTCAGGGGGAGAAAGGAAGGGGAGAAGCAGCAGTCGGGAGGTTTTTTCTCATGCTTTTTGTGGGTAGTCAGCTTTTCCCCTCCCGACATCCCCGTTGCCTCAGCACTATAAGAGGGTTTCACAAACCCAGTTGCTCTCGTAGTAATGGTGAGGCCGTGGACCATATTTTAGTACTTGGGGACCACTGGTGGTCCACGGACCACAGGTTGGGAACCACTGATCTAGTCAGTGCCCCTGATGCACAACAGGAATGAAGTATTTTGCTGGCTTTCTATGTAGTAAAATAACAGCAGCTGTTTAATGAATATGGACACTACAGAATTGCAAAATTCTAATTCCCAGATACTTATATCTTCTGACAAAAACCTTAGTAACAACCACATATTGTACTAACAAGTCAAAAAACAATTAAGCTGTACTATTAAAACATTAATTGAAAACAGCTTAAAACATTTAACTGCTGAGATTAAAGTTATAGAACCATGGGGCAAGATGAGGACAATGGAAAAGAGGGTTTCCTCCCAGCAGCAGAATCGGAGCCCCTGGAAGAGGAACAGCATTACACTAGCAGGAGCAGGACCTTTCAGGAATGGAAGCATCTGAGTCGGAGCAGGAAGAAAAAGAGCAGGCATTAACTCGCCCCACCCGGCTCCAGCTCAGGGTTGAAGCTATCCAGTTGCAGAGGTCCAGTTAGCTGGCGCAAAGAGAATCTCACAGTTGTAAACACTTTTCAGGAGCAGCATAAAAGGCTGGTGTTTGGAACAGTTGACTGCTGGAAGAAATTGTTGGGTTAGTGCAACAGCTGGTAATCTTTGGTGGCCTTGTGCCTTGAACCTCGGACTATGTTTTTGGATATCGGACTTGGACTTGTTGGTGAAAATCTGTGTATTAGACCTAGTGGAACGGACATTGGAATTCACTTGCTTGATCCTGTTAATTGGATTGAATAAGGCTTGAAATTCTGGACTGACTACATTCGGAACGCTGCCTTGACAAAAATTATAGCACCCCCAATGTAAAAGAGTTCTAGAAAGCATATGTAAATAAAAAATGGCTTTGGTGTAGAAGTAAAGGAGTCGTGTTCTCCAATTAGGAGTGAGGTAACACCAGACTCCTCCAAAGGCACTCTGGGGAGGCGCAGGGAAGACTGCATCTGATAAGGTTCCTGGAAAGTTGCAGTTTGTTCCATTTGGTTAGGATAGTGGGGTATGAATTGAAATACAAAGCTTCTGGATATGATGTCTGACACTGTAGTTTAATCTTTCCCCAAACTCAGAGCCACAAGGGCTATTCGGTTGCAATTCCCATCATCCCCAGACCACATGGAGGATCATCAAAAGCGAGGAGAATTGTCATGCAATAATATCTGGGGACTCAAATAAAAACTAAAAACTGATTAGCTTAAACTTTTAAAATAGTTTTAAAACTAGATAGAGCTCATCATTTAGAAATATGACCCACTGAAATCTTTTTGCAAGAAAACAAGCTTGAAACTAAGCTTTATCCTTAAGTGATGGCTCTCCCATCTATCTGTTACCTGTTTGATTTCTTCTGGAGGCTGTTTCTTTATATCGACTGGCTGGAAATCAGTGATGCCAAACTTATCTTGATAGTATTGACGAGTGAATTCATCACAATTGTATATAAAAAAGGAGCGCCCAAGAAGAGTAGTAGATTTGCCTACAGCAAAATCTTTAGCTGTAAACCATTCCAAGACCTCTTGATCAGAGATCTCAAGGACACAGGATGGGAAGGTCCCTTTTCAAAGGAAGATATATGGATTAGCCTTGTGTAAATTCCAGAAAAAATATCAGAAAGAAGGACAGACTTTTTCCAGAAACAACTGAAAATAACCAGGCTTCCCTTAATCTGACATATTAAGAAAGAAACTGTTCACAGCATATGTAGATTCTGGAAGTAATTCAAACAGGTGCATGAAACATAATAAGGCAATATTTAACAAGATTCTAAAGAACATATAGCATTTAGAGAAAACTAGATGTAGGATGAAATGTAGTATATGTAGTGTGTGTATATACATTTTTTTAGTACTAGCCATCTCCTGCCACGCGTTGCTGTGGCCCAGTCTGTGTATATGTGTTTTGTGTGCGTGTATGTGTGTATATGTGTTTTTGCGTATATATATGTAGTTTTGTGCATGCGTTGTAATGTTGTTTTTTTTTTAAGCCCCTTCTGCTGTGTTTTTCAGTGTTTTTATGAGTGATGGTCACTCGTTGGCCTGATAGGTGTATTGTGTCCAAATTTGGTGTCAATTTGTCCAGTGGTTTTTGAGTTATGTTAATCCCACAAACAAACATTACATTTTTATTTATATAGATACATAGTATAGTATACAGGTCAAAGACTAAGTTTAGCATTAAATGTTTTAGTGGCAAAATTAATAATTTGATCTGAATCGATTCTATGTCTGTCATATAATTTGATTTCTATGTTCCAGACATGACAATGTTTAACAGCATTCTTATATCTACATGCACTGCAATTTACATATCATTATATGCATTAATTCTGAAAATCCTTAAATAGAAGGGACTAATGCCCTTATCACCTTTGTTTTCCACAATTCTTTTGGGCAGGCGCTGGCGTTTGATCAGGACTGGGAAAGGATCTCTGCCATTGTTCCGCTCATGGACTTCCCGCACCTCCACTGTATCATCCGCCAAATAATAGTGGATGATAAAACAACGGTTCTCGCCAAACATGTTCACTGTGTCATCCCATATGGCATAGAAACGAAGGACCTGTGAGACCAGAGCATAGTGTGACACAGCATGTTTTGGTCATATAAGTTATGAATATAAATCTGCAACATCTTCATTTAAAAGAAACTTGAGGAACAAAACCGAGAAAGAAATCTTGATGGTACAGATTAGAGAAGATAGTACTGTATCAAATGACCTGACAGAGTTCAAAGCAGTTCTTTATAATCAACACATGCATTATAACCCAGGTTAAATTGGACATTCAGGCATGGAAAACATGTGCTTTCTTTTCCTCCCCACCCCCCGTAGACTCCCTCAGTGGCCCCCATTTTCCTCTCAACTTATTAGAGGAAGCCTCCAATGCAGGCCTGGAGCCTTTCCCCCCTCTCCCTTTGCCCTGAAAGAGTCAACAGAGGGTATTGGAGGAGAACCCCCCCTTCCCCTAACCAAAGCCCTTTTTCAGCTCGGGGGGGGGGGGGGCTTTTCCTGTTAAGTCAGGAAATGAGGGCGGGGGGGGGGGGGCTGGAAGTGCCAATGCCCACCCATGCTGATCCCAGCAAAATCTTGGGGTTTGGGCCAGCTGTGTTGCCTCTATCAAGAGAGGAAGTTGGATTTTTGGCCTGAGTAGAAGGGCCCTGAAATTCCAACAGATGACTTCACTATTGGAGCTCTTCTGGCAGGTAATTCCACAGTCTTGGTGCAGCCAGTGAAAAGTTCCTTTGGGGTGCCTACGTAGTTTGCCAAGAATGAATGTGCCAAGAAATGTGATCTATTAGTGATGTATTATGGAACACTTTGTAATTTCCATGGTGTATGTGTTTTGTCAGAATACCAAAATTCTGCCATGACAATGGTAGGGCTTGCAATGTCTTTTGCTATGCCGTTGTCTATTCTTTTGATGTTGGATTGTTTATGGTATGGGTTTGTTCTTACCATAGATCTCAGAAAAAGATCTATAGCTGTTTAGAACATGTTATTCAAATAAAAAAACAAGGAGTCTTAACCAAACAGAAGAGGAAAAAACCCACAGTTTTTCCCAAACTCTGTTACAAACAGAAAACTTTTCGAAGATGTACTTTAATGATAGATTGGACTTGTATTTCAACCAAATAATGTTCTCCAAACTTGCTTTTAACAAGTTTTTCCCTTTAACCAGTACCCTTCACCAGTCACATTTTCTTTTTTATATAGTCAGGCTGTAGAATCCCAAAATAATTATTATCACAATCACACTAAAACTGAGAACAGTCATAAAATGTTTTAGGGACAGGGACTCGCCAAATGGATTAGAGACATTATGCTGAAGACACATTCTGGACAGAAATCATATTAAAAACCAATAAAAAGAGGATATGCTGAAAAACTTTCAAAGAGTTCATACATGGTCATGGTAAGAAAGGAAAAATGTCACACATGAAAAATGTAGTCAATATTTATACCTCTTTCTATTAAATATATAATCAAAATAGTTTACACAACAGCACAAAAAAACCAAATAAAATGTCATCTTCCTGAAACAGTGGCAAGCAGCAATATAACTTAATGACATTAAAACTGTGTCAAATGCTATGAAATGACAGGGCAATGATTACATGTGAACTTTTGTTGCTATCTGATAAGTGATGAAGATTCTTCTCCCATTCCCCAACATACACATATAACTATCCCTTTAAGGTTTCCCCACCAGAAAAGACGTGGTGCCAAGTGGGAACACTCTGGCTTAATATTCAGTGTAAAACAAGTGCAACAAATCTCAGGCCCACCTTTTTGTCAAAAGTTAAAAATTGTTTGAGCTGGTCAAAATCAGAAGGTGTGATATACATGCGCAGAGGCATATTACGGAGTTCTGTATAAGGGTCAAAAATCATTTTCTCTGGAGGATTCAGCTCAATTCCTTGGCTCTGCAGAAAAGTCTAGAGAAAGACAATAATGTCAATAATACTAGTTTACATAGCAATATGTTGTTTTTTTAACAGAAAAGAGGCATGGCATGTCCTTACGCCAACTGTTTATCTACTATAATAGATACAACAAAGAGAGGGAGAAATTGAGGCATGAGTAAAGAGAAAAAATGAGAGCTATTTCTGATTACCTATACTTTGTCTTTTGTAGGAGTGGGAGGCCTATTAGGATGGACCCTTCCAGGAGGTTGATAGATCTGAATGGATTGGTGATGCCCCAGTTCTGGAACTCTGCCCATGGAAGCTGAATAGCTTCCTCCCTGCTGTCTTTCCAGCAGCAGGCTAAACCTTTTTATTCAGGGAAGCTTTTAAAGAAGGAGGTTTTTAAAAATGAGCCACAGGGCACTACATGGTGGGTTAAATATTTTGATAGTTTTTAGTGCTTTTATTTTCTTGTAACTATTTATTTTAAATAGTTTAATTCTATTTTAGTATTTGAATGTCATAGGGTTAAAATTGTAAATTATATTGTTTGGGGTTTTTAAAAAATCATTCTGAGTTTCTTTTAGGAGATGAAAGTGGGATATAAACAGATAAATAAAACCGTATTTTTATTTATCTGTTCCATAGAAATGCTGGAATCTTACGACTGAAATGGACTTCAGATTTTACTTCATCTTTTTTTTAGCTCCCTGTAAAGTAATTTTTGGTTATGAAGATGAATTTTAAAACGTTAACCAATGCCTTAGTTATTCCTAGGCAGTTTTTGTCTATATAATTCTTTTTTAATCTAGATAAATTCCTAGATATATTTTACACAATTATGTTTTCAGATGTAAAAAATAACTGTAAAATATATTTTTAAATAGCATACTGACAGAGATTCATTTAATAATAATAATAATCTTTATTTATGTTCCCCTTTATATCGCTGGAGAGACTCAGAGCAGATTACAATATACATGTGAGGCAAACATTCAATGCCTTTTACATAGTGAACAACATAAAACAGAAACAAATATTCAATTATTCCCCTAACAGCCTGTAAAACACATCCACCTCTTTTGTGACATTATGGATGGACAAGTATTTTGATACAGCTAGCCTTCGAAGTATTTTAGTTTAATTATCTTTTTTAACAATGTCATGCCAAGTTGATTCTGTAAATTGTGTACAAGTTTACAGTACCTCTGTGAATGCATCACAATCAACTATCCGGAAAGTCTTGCCATAGATAGTAATGTTGATTCCTCGGTTCAGATCTTTCCAGTGATAATGGTCCCCACAGTCATTCTTGGGTAGGCGTTGCCGTTTGATCAGTTTGCCCTGAGGAATCCCAGAGTTTTCCACGATTGGTTCCATGACAGACATACTATCATCTTCCAGATAATAATATATGCCCACTTGGCGGATGCGGAAATGCTCTTCTGTAGATATAGGGACATCTTCTTGAAAGTAACCATCAAACTTCAGCACCTGAAAAAAAGGAGCCTCAATCAGGATGTGAATTATACAATTATAAAAGATCCTTGCCCTTTTCTGGACACATTCCATTTTGTCAATATCTTTCTTTTTGGTGCCCAGAACTAGACAGAGTAGTCCAGGTAAGGTCTGACCATAGCAGAATAGAGGGCCACCATGACTTTCCTCGATCTCGACACTATACTCCTTTTGATGCAATTTGGAATCAGATTGATTCAGATTGTGCTGCATCATATTGCTGATTCATATTTAGCTTGTGGTTTATTAAGTCTACGAAATCACTTTCATATATATTGTTATAAAACCAGGAGTCAAACTTCTATACCTATGCATTTCATTTTTTCTGTCTAAGTGTAGTACCTTAGATTCTTCCCACTGAAATTAATTTTGCTACTTTTGGCACAGCTCTCTAATCTGTTATGACCATTTTAGATTCTGATCCTGTCCTCTGTGCTATTAGCTATCCCTACCAATTTGGGTCATCCATAAAGTTGATAAGCATGCCTTCCATTCCAGTGTTCAAGTCATTGATAGAGGTGTTGAATAGCACTGGGCCCAGTACAGAACCCTGTAGCACCCCACTGGTCACTTCTCTTCAGGATGAAGAGGAGCCATTGGGAGGCATCCTTTGGGATCAACCAGTTCCTAATTCACCTAACAGTAGAATTGTCTAATCCTCTGGGGCAGTAGTTCCCAAACTTTTTGTCATGGAACCCTTCCAGAAGATCTTTTCCCCTAATGTTCCTAAATATATTTCACAATACTGTCAACCCGCAAGCACTGTGAACCCACAAAGTTCTTCTTTCTTTCATCTGCTTCCATTGCGTGTATGTTCTGTACAATATAGTGTTGTTGTTCATTCGTTCAGTTGCTTCCAACTCTTCGCGACCCCATGGACCAGCCCACGCCAAAGCTCCCTGTCGGCCACCACCACCCCCAGTACCTTCAAGGTCAAGCCAATCACTTCAAGGATACCAAACCTACAGTATAGTAGGCTTGGAAATAAACAGAACACATTTTAAATATACCCTTAAACATAAATTTTGGTACAGAGAAATACTGGATTCACACTTAAGGGGACAAATGAAATTGTTTCACTTTTGTATTTAAAATAGTTTTGAAAATGGGCTTTATGTCTGGAAGCTGAATATGTAAAATCGGAAAGGCATCCATTGGTGTAAGAATAAGCTAAAAATCCTGAATTACATCGATAGGGGACATGAAGGGGGATATTCAGAGAGCCTTTCAGGCTACTGAATGCTTTACATATATCAGTCCTATCCAATGATCATTCTGTGGCATAAATTCAAATTTTGTTTTTAAAACAGATGCACATTACATTTTAATAAAACCTTTATTCTCTGGCATGGGATTTAATTTTTTTAAAGCTGTCTTTTGTGAAAACCTTATGAGGGTTCCATGGCACACAGTTTGGGAATCCCAATGTTGTGTCATCTGCAAATTTGATAAGCATCCCTTCTATTCCACTGTCGAAGTCACTGATAAAGATGTTGAATAGCACTGAGTCCAGGTCAGAACCCTGTGGCACAACACTAGTCACTATTCTCCAGGATGAAGAAAAGCCATTGGGAAGCCCCCTTTGAGTTCGGCCAATCAACCAATTCCCAGTCCACCTAACTGTAGCATTGTTTGGCTCACTGCTTCTTAAAATATGGGTCCGAGCCCCAAATGGAGTCCTCTTAGTTCAATGTCACACACACACATAAATTGAAAACTGTAAAAGATTTTGGAACACACCCATTTACACAAATATTAGCAACAACATGTACTGTTTACAGTAGGCCTTGTGGAAAATGCTTGAGCTATATTCCATAAAATGGAAAACAAGCCTGTTTAGCAAGCCTTGCAAATGCTTATTTATTATCAGTAAATATTTGATTTTTATACCTACTTTATATAGCTATATGTCTGGAGTCCCATATACATTGCTTTGGGGAAGTGAAAACTTAGGTAATATTTTATTAGTTTCTTTGTGAGAATGTCATAGGGAACCTTGTTAAAGGTCTTACTGAAATAAAGATATGTAACATCTATATAATTCCCTTCATCTATCAAGCTCGTAAAGAGAAACACTGACATGATTAGTGTTTGAAAAACCCACACTGACTTTAAAATAAACCTGTCCCCTTCTATACAGCTGAATAAAATCCAGATTATCTGCTTTGAACTGGATTATATGGTAGCAAAGTGCATAGTCAAATTTTTGGGTCCTGACTAAGGACAATTGTCAAAGGAAATGTTTAACCAAATGCACAGCGGAACATCCATGCCTTCAATTATTTCCAAAAAGTGGATAGGGAGGGGGCTAGTCTGATCTCCCTGGAACAGAAATCCAGGGCCAGGGGGCAACAACCGAAAAGGCCCTCTTTCTAGTCCCCACCAACTGGGCCTGTGTTGGAGGCGGAAGTGAGAGAAGGGCCTCCCCAGAGGACCTCAGGAATCGTGTTTCAGTGATACCAATTACTGTATTTTTTCAGTTCTAAGACACACCTTTTTCCTATGTGAACATCTCTAAAAATGGGGTGTGTATTTTTGTTGGTGGTAGTGGGACTGAAATTAGGGTGCATCTTACAATCATAACATTTGAAGATAGGCTTATGATATAACCATCTCCCCACCATCTGTTGGGGCCTTCTCAGTGGTTGCCCCTCGGCTCTGGAATTCCCTCCTTAGGGATATTAGATCAGCCTCCTCCTTCTTGACTTTCCGAAAACGAGTAAAAACTTGGCTCTTCAAGTAAGTGTTTGGAAATGCAGTGCAGTAAATAATTATGAACTATGAAGAATGAACATGGAACAGCAAGACAATGCTACTGGACAATGAGTTTAACAGGAAACACTGGTGATCATGTTTTTAATGGTTTTATATGGTTTTATAATATTATGTTGTATATTTTAATTGTATTTTTATGAATGCATGGCATCGAATTGCTGCCAAGTCTGTAAGCCACCTTGAGTTGTCTTATGATTGAGAAAGGCGGGCTATAAATACCATAAATAAATAAATAAAATAATGTTATTCTGCAATACCTTTTTGTCAAAAGCCACATGTGCAGGAATGAAATCGGATGGCGGAGCTTGCTTTGGTTGACCATACGTTAATGTGGGTCTCTTGTTGGCGAGTTCATCCAGTTCAGCTTGGGACAGCTGATTTACATAAAGTCGTGTTCCACCTATGCCCACAGTTGGAGTTTGCTTAAAGGCAAAACCATTTTTATAACCTAGGGTCTGAGAACGATGAAAAGAAGTTTTCTATGGAAAGAAAAAAAAGTTATATGATATATAGATGATTGACAAGGCAAATATGCTCAGTTACAAAAAGGCAAAGGCTTCTCATTCTTCCAAGGGTTTTCAAAAAAAGTATCCTATTTGATTGTAAAGCTGTAAGCTTTGGGTTGTTGTAGGTTTTTTCGGGCTATATGGCCATGTTCTAGAGGCATTCTCTTCTGATGTTTTGCCTGCATCTATGGTAAGCATCCTCAGAGGTAGAGAGGTCACAACTTCTGAGGATGCTGCCATAGATACAGGAAAAACATCAGGAGAGAATGCTTCTAGAACATGACCATATAGCCTGAAAAAACCTACAACAACCCAGTGATTCTGGCCATGAAAGCCTTCGACACTACACTGTAAGCTTTGTTATATTTTGCCTTTTGATAAGAGTTTGTTATTAATTGCCATCAAGCTCACTTTGACTTATGGTGACCCTATGAATGACAGGCCCCAAGATCCATGACTGTCCTGCTCAGGTCTTCCAAACTCAGCGCTATGGTCTCTTTAATAGAGTCAATCTATTTATAATGCAGTCTGTCTCTTTTCCTGTTAGCTTACACTTTACGAAACATTATTGCCTGTCCTAATGAGTCATAACTTTTGAAGATAGGCTTATGATATAACAATTTCCCCACCATGAAACTATCTGTGGTGGTGAGATTGTGTGTTTTTTTGAGGTTGCTAGTAGAGTACCTCATGTGCGCATTCAGAAGAAGACCTACAAGCCACTCTAAACACCTTTGCAGAAGCATACGACCAGCTCGGCTTGTCATTAAACATTGAGAAAACCAAAGTGCTTTTCCAGCAGTCACCAAATGCCTCTCTAATGCCATAAATACAACTTAATCCCTCTCCAATGCCAGAAATACAACTTAATGGTGTAACATTAGAAAATGTTGACCATTTCCACTACCTTGGCAGGCACCTCTCCACCAAAGTCAACATTGACACTGAAATTCAACATTTCCTGAGCTCTGCGAGTGCAGCATTTTCCCGAATGAAACAGAGAGTGTTTGAGGACTGGGACATCCGTAGGGATACCAAGGTGCTTGTTTATAAAGCTATTGTTCTCCCAACCCTGCTATATGCCTGTGAAACATGGACTGTCTACAGACGTCACATGCAACTCCTGGAACGATTCCATCAGCGCTGCCTCCGGAAAATCCTGCAAATCTCTTGGGAAGACAAGTGGACAAATGTCAGCGTGCTGAAAGAAGCAAAGACCACCAGCATTGAAGTGATGGTCCTCCGCCATCAACATCCGTTGTCCGGATGCCCGACCACCGTCTCCCAAAGTAGTTGCTCTACTCTGAACTCAAGAACGGATAAAGGAATGTTGGTGGGCAGGAAAAGAGATTTAAGGATGGGCTGAAAACCAACCTTTAAAACTCTGGCATAGACACTGAGAACTGGGAAGCCCTGGTCCTTGAGTGCTCCTGCTGGAGGTCAGCTGTGACCAGCTGTGCTGCAGAATTTGAAGAGGCACAGATGGAGGGCGAAAGGGAGAAACGTGCGAAGAGGAAAGGGTATCAAGCCAACTTTGACTCGGACCGCCTTCCACCTGGAAACCGATGCCCTCACTGCGGGAGACGATGCAGGTCAAGAACAGGGCTCCACAGCCACCTACGGACCCACCGCCAGCACACCAATCTTGGAGGACCATCATCCTCGGACTACGAGGGATCGCCTAAGTAGAATCCTAGAATCCTAGAGTTAGAAGAGACCTCATGGGCCAACCAGTCCAACACCCCTGCCAAGAAGCAGGAATATTGCATTCAAATCACCCCTGACAGATGGCCATCCAGCCTTTGTTTAAAAGCTTCCAAAGAAGGAGCCTCCACCAGTCTGGGGCAGAGGGTTCCACCGCTGAACGGCTCTCACAGTCAGGAAGTTCTTCCTCATGTTCAGATGGAATCTCCTCTCTTGTAGTTTGAAGCCATTGTTCCGCGTCCTAGTCTCTAGGGAAGCAGAAAACAAGCTTGCTCCCTCCTCCCTGTGGCTTCCTCTCACATATTTATACATGGTAAGTGTACCTCATGTTACACAGCTGAGAGGTCAGACTACATATGCCAATAAGCTATGAGAATGCAGCAGTAGTGAGGAGTGACACTAGTGGAGGACTCTCTCAAGGCACACAAGAACAAACCACGTCCCCGGCCATAAAGCTGTGTGTTCTGTGCCTTCAAGCTCGCGCAAACGAGCTTATCCGTATTTCCTCAGTGGTTTCCCCTTCTGTCCCAGGGATGTTCAAACTGCGCATGCTCAAACAGAGCTGAGGGGCTTCTCTTAACGCGCCTCCCTTTGGGCCTTCTGGCGGCTCCTGAAGGGAGAAACGCCGCCCTGCCGCGGGAAACGGGGCGGCAAGGCAGAGAGCTAGACTTTTAGGTATCCTCACCGTGGGGTCTCGAAACGTCGAGCCTGGCAGGATGGGAAGCCCTTGCACCGGCTGGGAACTCATGGCGGCGGGTAGCCGGCAGCGGAGGGACTGTCGCGCGGCGGCTGCGGGTTGCCATGTCCACGCGCTCCCCTCGTTTCCATGGTAACGATACACATCCTGAGTGCGCATGCGCCTTTCCTTGGCCTAGACAGCGCGCGCCTCGCCAGTTTTTCTGTCTCGCCGCCAACACTTCCTGCAACCACCCGGAAGCTCCATTTGCTTAGGCAATTTCTGCTATATTCAAAGGCCCCATCACAGGCGAATAAAATCCCACATTATCTGCTTTGAAGTGGGATATATGGCAGTGTGGGCTCAACCCACTTCAAGGCAGATATTGAGGGATTTTCTGCCTCAATATTCTGGGGCCCTTTCCACACAGCTGAATAAAATCCCACATTATCTGTTTTGAAATGGGATATATGGCAGTGCAGGGCTTGACAAATGCAAGGCTGGGGTAAAAATTGCTGGAAGAGACATTAACAACCTTAGATATGCAGATGACACCACTTTGATGGCTGAAAGCGAGGAGGGGCTGAGGGGCCATCTAACCAAGGTGAAAGAAGAAAGCGCAAAAGCTGGGTTTATTTATTTATTTATTTTGGTTACTTCTACCCCGGCCTTCCCACCCTGAAGGGCAGGCCCGTAGCCAGGATTTTGATGGGGGGGGGGGCTGAATTTTTTCAGGGGGGGCTGAGTCTGAGTGAGGGTCTACCCTAGCAAACCTTTTGCATCGTTACCCCAATACCCCCATGCATATGGGATATATTGAGTATGGTGATCAGATCATGATATGAATAAACATAACAGTTTAAATAATGCACCAGTAAGGCCTTTTCGCGAACCACCATGAGAATTTGGGGGGGGCTGAAGCCCCTCAAGCCCCCCCCCCCCCCCCCCCCCGGCTACATGCCTGCCGAAGGGGACTCAGGGCGGCTTACAAAGGCACAATTCCATGCCAGCATCACATAACAGTAGTAAACAAATAGCAGCAATTAACAATTAAACAACAGTTCCTGCATTACAACAATAAAACCAATACAAACCCACTTACTCCTCATTGACAGTCAGCGTTCGCTATCTCATAGTCCAAATTCCAATTCCACATTGTCAGTTCTGCCAGTCCTAATCGTCTGATTGTCCTTATCTAGTTGTCAGATTGCCCAAAGGCCTGGTCCCACAACCACGTCTTTACTTTCCTCCTGAAGGAGAGGAGGGATGTTGATGCCCTAATTTCCCCTAGGAGTGAGTTCCACAGGTGAGGGGCCACTACCGAGAAGGCCCTGCTCCTCGTTGCAGCTAAACATCAAGAAAACCAAGATTATGGCAACAAGAATGATTGACAACTGGGAAATAGAGGGGGGAAACATAGAGGCAGTGACAGACTTTGTATTTCTAGGTGCAAAGATGACTGCAGACGCACAGTGCAGCCAGGAAATCAGGAGTCGCTTACTTCTTGGGAGGAGAGCAATGACCAATCTTGCTAAAATAGTGAAGAGTAGAGACATCACACTGGCAACAAAGATCCGCAAAGTAAAAGCAATGGTATTCCCCATAGTCACCTACGGATGTGAGAGCTGGACCGTAAGAAAGGCTGAGCGAAGGAAGATAGATGCCTTTGAACTGTGGTGCTGGAGGAAAGTCCTGAGAGGGCCTTGGACCGCGAGAAGATCCAACCAGTCCATACTCCAGGAAATAGAGCCCGACTGCTCATTGGAGGGAAGGATAATGATCACATAGCAGTTTGTCATCCAAAGCACTTTACATTTCCCCGAGTCTGCTTGTATGCCCCCACAAACACCAGTCTCACCTTTCGTTCATGGCCCAGCATTATTTCCAATTTTAACTCTACATTTGGCCTTCCCACTGTTTTAATAATGTGTTGCTTTTTTGATAATGTTGTGTATTTTATTGTCTATCTTTTTTAATTGCTTGTCTTGATGTTTTATTGCTTTTGTTGTTGTGTTTGAGCTCGGCCTCATGTAATCCGCAATGAGTCCCTTGGGGAGATGGTAGCGGGATACAAATAAAGTTAATAAATAAATAAAATAAATAAAATATAGTAGAGGCAAGATGAAGTACTTTGGCCACATCATGAGAAGACAGGAAAGCTTAGAGAAGACAATGATGCTGGGGGAAATGGAAGGAAAAAGGAAGAGGGGCCGACCAAGGGCAAGATGGATGGATGGCATCCTTGAAGTAACTAGATTGACCTTGAAGGAGCTGGAGTGGTGACGGCCCACAGGGAGCTCTGGCGTGAGCTGGTCCAGGAGGTCATGAAGAGTCTGAAATGACTGAACGAATGAACAACAATATGGCAGTGTGGACTCAGATAATCCAATTCAAAGTATTTATTGTAGGTTATTCTGCCTTGACATTCTGGGATATAGGGTTTTGAGGATAACCCAGGGCCCTTCCACACAGTCCTATAACACAGGCAGAAAATCCCACAATATCTGCTTTGAATTGGGGGCCCTTCCACACAGCTCTGTATCTCAGGATATCAAGGCAGAAAAACCCACATTATCTGAGTGTGGGCTCAGAAAACCCAGTTCAAAGCAGATGTTGTGGGATTTTCTGTCTTGATATCCTGGGATATAGGGCTGTGTGGAAAGGTTCTGGGTTGTCTGGGTCCACGCTGCCATATAACCCAGTTCAATGTGGATGTTATACAGCTGTGTGGGAGGACCTCCAGTTTGGCATAGCTACAGTTAAGAGAGTAGCTAACCTTAAAGATACAGATTCACCAATTGGCTACTCTTTCGAAAGGCGGGAGCGTTTCCGATTCGTAGCACGCCATTGGCCGGCAGTCCCGTTGCCTAGACCAATGGGGCGGCGACGTTCGAGGCGGCGCCTTGGCTCCTCCCTTGGCGGGAAAAAGTCTCGGGTTTTCGCGCCAAGGGCCTTGGAGACGCTGAGCACAAGTGACTTCTCGCCCAAGGAAAGAATCATCGTCTCCTGTCGCCATGGCTCTCCCCACGGCAGCCACGCTGGATGACGCGGAGCTGCGAGAGGCTCAACGAGACTACCTGGACTTCTTGGACGACGAGGTGAGCGCAGAGAAAAAGGCGGGAAAGGAAGCCCCCCCCTCCCCCGCGCCATGCAGGGAACAGTCCTTTCCGGCAAAGGAGGAGGGCGTTTGGCGCGACCGAGGCATTGATGCAGCCTTCCTAGGCTTGCCTTACCCACTTCTAATACTGCAAGCTTCATCGTCATTACTTTGTAGTCGAGCCACGCATAGGGAGGCTGGGGGCCCTTCCACACAGCCATATAACCCAGAAAATCGCACAATATCCGCTTTGAACTGGGTTATTTGAGTCCACGCTGCCATCTATTCCAGTTCAAAGCAGATAATGTGGGATTTTATTCAGCTGTGTGGAAGGGGCCATATAAAATTCAGATTATTTACTTTGAACTGGGTTATATGGCAGTGTAGACTCTTGATTCCAATTCAAAGCACGTAATGTGGATTATGTATTTTGATAATCTGGGTTATAAGGCAATGTCGAAGGGGCCTGAAATGCACTCGATGGAGGGTGGTTTCCAATGTCTTGAGAATTTGATTGGATTTTGCAGTGTTGCTTATTATATTGGTTTTGCATTTTATGTTTTGGTTTTGTTATGCTTTTGTGTTATATTGTGTTTACTATACTGATGGCGCAGTGGGTTAAAGCACTGAGCTGCTGAGCTTGTTGACCAAAAGGTCGCAGGTTCGATTCCAGGGAGCGGCGTGAGCTTCCGCTGTCAGCCCTAGCTTCTGCCAACCTAGCAGTTCGAAAACATGCAAATGTGAGTAGATCAATAGGTACCGCTCCGGTGGGAAGGTAACGGTGCTCCATGCAGTCATGCCGGCCACATGACCTTGGAGGTGTCTACGGACAACGCTGGCTCTTCGGCTTAGAAATGGAGATGAGCACCACACCCCAGAGTCAGACATGACTGGACTTAATGTCAGGGGACTACCTTTACCTTTACCTATACTGATGGGCGTGGCCTCATGTAATTTATTTATTTATTATTTAGCAACAATTTTGTATACCGGTCTTCTCCCCCCCATCGGGGGACTCGGGCCGGTTTCCAACAGTAATATCACAAAACAATAGTTAAAAACATCATATAACATATTCACATTAAAACATTAAAACAGCAAAATGCAATCACATAATAACAATGGTCAGTCGTCATAATAAATTCATTGTTCGTCATTCGTCATCATCCAACCAAACACAGAAATATTGATTTACTCGTCGAAAGCCAAATTCCATAGCCAGGTTTTCACCCGTTTTCTGAATGTCAGAATGGAGGGAGCAGTCCTAAGCTCCAGTGGGAGAGAGTTCCAGAGTTGAGGGGCCACCACTGAGAAGGCCCTGTCCCTCGTCCCCCACCAGACGCACTTGTGCGGCCAGTGGGACCGAGAGCAGGGCCCCTCCAGACGATCTTAACCTAGATGGTTCATAGGGGAGAATACGTTTGGACAGGTAAGCCTCACCGAGTCCCCCTGGGGGAGATGGAGTGGGGTATAAATAAAGTTTTATTATTATTATTATTTCATTATAATTATTCCTGTTCTCAGTTTCCCTTTTCCACTTCTATAAAAGCATTGGCATCAATATCTTAGAATCCACACTGACATGTAATAATAATAATAATAATAATCTTTATTTATAGCCCGCCACCATCTCCCCAAAGGGGACTCGGGGCGGCTTACATGAGTCCAAACCCGACAGTACATTACAACAAAATAAAATCAAAACAAAAACAAACATCACAATTAAATAAATAAAAATATAAGAATGCAATGAAACAATACAAAATATTGTTTTGCCTTGATGCTCAATAGGCAGAAAATCAAGGCATAAATCCCACAATATCTGCTTTGAACTGGGTTATCTGAGTCCACACTGCCATATATTCCAGTTCAAAGCAGATAATTTGAGATTTTACTCAGCTGTGTGGAAGGGGCAGGGGCCATATAAAGTTCAGATTATTTGCTTTGAACTGAATTATGTGGCAGTGTAGACTCTTAATTCCAATTCAAAGCACGTAATGTGGATTATCTGTTTTGATAATCTGGGTTATAAGGCAATGTTGAAGGGGCTTGGAATGCACTCGATGGAGGGTGGTTTCTAATGTCTTGAGAATCCTGTTCTCAGTTTCCCTTTTCCACTTCTATAAAAGCATTGGCATCAAAATCTTAGAATCCACAGACATATAATAATAATAATAATAATAATAATAATAATAATAATAATAATAATCTTTATTTATAGCCCGCCACCATCTCCCCAAAGGGGACTCGGGGCGGCTTACATAAGGCCAAGCCCGACAGTACATTACAACAAAATAAAATCAAAACAAACATCACAATTAAATAAATGAAAACATAAGAATGCAATAAAACAATACAAAATATTTTTGCCTTGATATTCAATAGGCAGAAAATCAAGGCATAAATCCCATAATATCTGCTTTGAACTGGGTTATCTGAGTACACACTGCCATATAAGCCAGTTCAATATGGATTTGATACAGCTGTGTGAAAGGGGCCAGAATTGACAGAGACTTCCAAGGGCCACCCACTCCAGCCCCATTTTGCCATGTGGGAGGATACAATCAAAAGACCCCTGACAGATGGCAATCCAGTCTCTGCTTAAACATTTCAAGAGAAGGGGACTCCACCAGACTTCCCAGGCAGCAGATAGCCCTTCCTGTCAGAAAGTCCTTCCTAACACTTAGGTGGAACCTTTTCCCCCAAAATTTGAACCCATTACCTAGTCTCTAGAGCAGCAGAAAACAACACTCTACTCTTATTGATGAAAACTTGAATTCCATTGGCTTTTTTAGCTGAATGAAATTTATTACAATCAACAGATCAGACAATATAAGTAGATCCAAACAAACAATATAAATAACAATGTATTGTCGAAGGCTTTCATGGCCGGGATCACTGGGTTGTTGTAGGTTTTTCCGGGCTATATGGCCATGTTCAGGAGAAAAATTGCCTCCAGAACATGGCCATATAGCCTGGAAAAACCTACAACAACCCATAAATAACAATATCATACAAAAACAATACCTTTAAATACAGTTACAATTCCCTTAAATTTATGATGTCATTTTTTGCTGACAAGCGAGCACTGTGGCACCAAAGCTGACCACTTTAACTGTTACCATTGGATTCTGATCCAAACAATGTATGTAAAACTCGTCAGTTCTTCCAGGAACGCTGGGCAGGTACGCTGGACTGGAGCTGTATAGGGCTTTATAGGTCAAGACCAGCACTTTGAATTGTGCTCTTTCACATAGACTGAACTAGGTGTCACATTTGTTCATTTCATTTTTCCCCACCTAAATGCAGTATCTTACATTTCTCCTTGTCAAAATTAATTTGTTAGTATTGGCCCAGCTCTAATCTGTTTGAGATTTTTGATCCTGTTTTCTGGAGTATTATCTCCCCTTCCCAATTTGTTATCTGCAAATTTGATAAGCATGCCTATTACAGCGCCCAAGTCATTGATAAAGAAATCCAGGTGTTCTGAGAACTAATGGCCAATGTGGACGTCACTCTTCAAGAAGGCTTTGACAGCTTTAGCTGGTGATCCTGCATTGAGCAAGGAGTTGGATCCGATCATCCATTGGGCCCCTTCCAACTCTGTGAGGGCCCATTGTATCCTGATATTTCTCATATAATAGTTTGTGTACTTCTTTAAACTGTTTATCATCAGCAGAAAAGGGAGATGGTTGTATTTAATTTTCAGTGGTCGGGTGGGGGGTGGTATTTAATAATAACCTTTAATAAAACAGGGAAAGGATGTTAATTTGTACCTTAAAGAAATTTCTTTTAGAGTGATCTGATGCAAAAACCTTACTAATACATACTCCATTACAGGAGGATCGAGGAATTTACCAGAGTAAAGTCCGCAACATGATCAGTGACAATCAGTACCGTCTGATTGTGAATATCAATGACCTCCGAAGAAAGAATGAAAAAAGAGCCAGGCGGTAAGTAATTTGCACATTGCTACGTGCATACATGTGTTGTCAAAATTGTGTTACATGTAATTGTATTCTGTATCCAGTTCAAAGCAGAAAATGTGGATTATCTTTGATAATCCGGATTATATGGAAAAGTAGAAGAGGTCCAATTCTGACTCCTATTTCTTTCAGTCTGCTGAACAGTGCCTTTGAAGAGATGGTGGCATTCCAGCGTGCCCTGAAGGACTTCGTTGCTTCTATTGATGCAACCTATTCGAAGCAGTATGAAGATTTTTACATTGGGCTTGAAGGCAGTTTTGGTTCCAAACATGTGACACCTCGGACGTTGACATCACAGTTTCTCAGCTGCATTGTCTGTGTGGAGGGCATTGTTACAAAATGTGAGTGAAAAGGATTGGGGGGAATGCGCAGTGGTGGTCTTGTGATATAGTTCATTTTGACAATCTCTCAGGCCCCTTCTACACTGCCATATAAAATCCAGATTATCTGCATTGAACTGGATTATATGGCAGTGTAGACTCAGATAACCTAGTTCAAAGCAGATAATTTGAATGATTTGATTTGATAATCTGGGTTATATGGCAGCATAGAAGGGTCCTCAGTTGGTTTTATCTTCCACTTCTGGCTCTCATTGTTGGAGACCTTATCGTAGGGTATTTCCCTCTCTGCTAAAATGTTTACAATAAAGTTAAAAAGGAAAGGAGAGGAATGGAAGAAGCCTGATTTACATTGCATGGGCCCATTGATTTGAATTGATTGTTCCAAGAAGGAGGCATTTTCTTCAGTGTGCCCAGACTTCTGCAGTTTTCTTTATTATAACACACATACACAAACCAGAAAGAACAATATAAAAGAAACAAACACTGATCCATACCACAGTATGTCTTTCAATCTCTTAGGCCACTCCCCCCCCTTTCTTCAATATTATATCCAAAGTTTGGCCCTTTTAATCATACTTTCTTTACCTTATTCACCTTCCAAAGTGGGAGCTCCTGGTGGCGCAGTGGGTTAAACCCCTGTGCCAGCAGGACTGAAGACCGATAGGTCGCAGTTCAAATCCGGGGAGAGGCGGATGAGTTCCCTCTATCAGCTCCAGCTCTCCATGCAGGGACATGAGGGAAGCCTCCCACAAGGATGGCAAAACATCAAAACATCCGGGCGTCCCCTGGGCAATGTCCTTGCAGACGGCCAATTCTCTCACACCAGAAGCGACTTGCAGTTTCTCAAGTCGCTCCTGACACGACAAAAAAACAACAACAAACTCTTCCAAAGGGTGTTTTGTACTTTCCAAACATTAGGGATGAAGACTAGGTAGATGATCAAGCTTTGACAGAGAAGGCTAAGCATAGCTATGTTGTGGCTTGCCTGGAGTCACGAGGAGAGACAGGAAAGAAATAAAATACTACTTCTAATTATTATTATTTTAAATCCTGGGTGAGAATGGTCCCCAGTTCTGGTGGGTATTTTGGTAATGTGTTTATGTAGGAGACACTATCATTTGGTTATTAAGTAGGAGCCATTTCCTCTGTGGGTGCCATAAGATTTTGTGTCCAGAAGATTTGTACCACTTACCCTCTGTTCAAAAGCTTACCACTTACCCTCTGTCCTGTAATGCTTTGCGTCTTTGTTTAAGGTTAAACTACACTTCAGTTAGAGGGATTTAGTTTGCAGGGAATATAAATTAATATGTCAGAATACAAAATGATATGCTGTGAAGTGGAATTTCGTCATGAACTGTCTTATCTGCCATCTTCAGTTGGGATGGTTGTTAATTGTACAAACTCAAGACTTTGCTTCCTTCTCATCCAAACACAGGCTCCTTGATACGCCCAAAGATAGTCCGCAGTGTACATTACTGCCCTGCTACAAAGAAAACTATAGAGCGCCGTTATACAGACATGACATCCCTGGAAGCGTTTCCTTCCACGGCTGCTTATCCCACTAAGGTGAACTAAGTTGATTTAATGTTCTCAAATCATCCCTTTGAATTAAAAAAAGAAGTCCTTCGTAGGGTCTTTTATTCAATTATGCATAATTGAGCTATATTCTTTCTATGAGTTGAACACCCATTATCCAGAAAACTGAAATAAAGTAGACTCTCAGATAACTAACACCCATGGGGATTGGTAGATAAATGTAGTTTCTGGTTGCTTGAGAGTTACTATTTTAAAATAGGCTTAATTACATCATATTATACCCTAAACCAGAGTTTTCCAAACTCTTGTGTGTCAGCTGCTGTGTGTAGCTGCATTACACAAAAATAATGAGAAATGACAAAACACTTGGAAATGTATGTCTTACCTTACAAATAATATATTTCTGAAAATATAAATGAAAGGTTTTCATGAGATAAGCTGTGTCCCCATCATTATTGCAGTTCATGTATGTGTCCAAACCTCTTGTAAGGAGTTTTCCAGGCTGCATGGTGATGTTCCAGAAGCATTTTCTCCTGACAGCTTCAATACTAATCAGGCTAGCCAATTGCAACATTCACACTTGCCTCAAGCAGACAACAACAAAACAACAAAACTTTATATACCGCTCTATCTCCCCAAGGGGACTCAGAGCGGTTTCCAAGTAAACATAAACAGTACATACAAGAAAAAAATGGCATAAACATAAAATTTACAAGACAATATAGGCATTAAAACCACAATAGCACATACAAGAGTTTTTTCTCCCACCCTGGATATTATTCCATAGATATATAAATCCCACTTGCTTCGTTTTCAAGAGACTTCACAACCTCTGAGGATGTGTGCCATAGATGTGGGTGAAATGTCAGGAGAGAATGCTTCTGGAACGTGGCCATACAGCCCAGAAACTCGCAGCAACCCAGTGATTCTGGCCATCAAAGCTTTTGACAACACTCTTGTAAGGAGTTGTTTTACCCTCCGATTTGCTGAATTGCTGTATCATGAAATGTTTAAAAAGTATGCCACTAACATTAAATGTTTTGAAAGCTTTGCCCTGTACCATGCCTCAATATTCTAATTTCTATGGAATCTAAGAGCACATTCCTTTTCACCTGGAACTAATGTAAAAATTCCATGAGTTTATAGAAGTTGTGGAGTCTCCCCAAACCTGCAACTGCCCCCCTCTGAACTGAAATCCAATATGTTGTCGCTTTCAGCTTTGATCCCCCTTCCCCTTGCTTTATTTTATAACTAGAAGAAATAGATGCTATTAACCTTCCATTTTCCTAGATGTACATTTTCTGCCTTATAGTGCTTGCGCAGGAAAAGAGGAGCACACTTCTGTCTTCAGAAGTTTTTAGATCTCTTATCGCCAAATGAAGCAAAGTAACCCTTAAAATGTGTGTTGTTTAGGATGAAGAAAACAATCCTCTTGAAACAGAATTTGGCCTGTCTACCTACAAGGACCATCAGACCATCACAATTCAAGAGATGCCAGAAAAAGCACCAGCTGGACAGCTCCCTCGCTCCGTAGACATCATTTTAGATGATGACTTGGTGGACATGGTGAAGCCAGGGGATCGAGTGCAGGTCATTGGGACGTTTCGCTGCCTCCCTGGGAAGAAAGGGGGGTACACTTCAGGAACATTTAGGTAAACTGCAGTGTGCAGAGGTCCCTTGACTCGATACCATAAATTTCCGTTTCCCAGCAAGGGCCGAGAGAGTCGCTTGCTGTTGGCTTAGTGCATAACTGCTGTGGAGCACCACTGCAATGTCTACTTCTCATTGCTATCTAGTAGGAAACTAGATAGCAATAAAATGATGATTTCTCTTCTTTTCATGTCAGGGTTGTTTTTGGCCTGAAAAGTTCCCAAAATACCTGGCTGTTTTGTTTTTATTTATTTATTTACGACATGTACATGCTGCCCTTCTCACCCTGAAAGGGACTTAGAGCAGCTTACAAGTAATGCGAAGCATTAGCTTTAAAAAGCAAAACTATAATCTTGCCATATACAGCAACTCTCTCTCTCTCTCTCGTGTGTTGTGTGCACACACACACATTCATGTCAGGAGCGACTTGAGAAACAAGTCGCTTCTGGTGTGAAGGAATTGGCCGCCTGCAAAGATGTTGCCAAGGAGACGCCTGGATGTTTTACATTCCTTGTGGGAGGCTTCTTTCATGTTCCCGCATGGGGAGCTGGAGCTGACGGAGTTCAACCCGCTCTCCTTGGATTCGAACCACTGACCTATTGGTCAGCTGTCCTAGCACAAGAGTTTAACCCATTGCACCACCAGAGGCTCCAACTGTATATATAAAGACATATAGCTGAGTCCGGCTGTTGGGGAGTACGATAGAGCTTGGACCAACTGCAACAGTAAAACACAAACCACAGACCTTTAAGGTATTTCTGTCACACACGTGTGGGCTTTTGTTGTCTGGCCATTGTAGTTGGAAGCTAGTTTTGAGCTGCATTAAATTATCAGTGTAAAAGGCATCACAGAAAAAACAAAGTCCTTTTGTCTAGTTGTTATGCCTCTCCTACTTTTATAAATAATTGAAGTCCAGAAGCGTTCACTGGAAATAGACCTGGAGTGTGGCATAAAAACATCAGTTTCTTCTAAAGCAGTGGTTCTCAACCTGTGGGTCCCCAGATGTTTTGGCCTTCAACTCCCAGAAATCCTAACAGCTGGTAAACTGGATGGGATTTCTAAAAATTGTAGGCCAAAACACCTGGGGACACACAGGTTGAGAGCCACTGCTCTAAAGAGTCTGAAAATTAATATATTTGTTTGCAAGTTGTGTTGGAAGTGACTGGATTGGAAGATATTTACCACTACACTACAACACTGACTCTAGAAAGGTCGTAATATGATGTCATTTTCTCCCTTTGCCACCCCCAGGACTATTTTGATTGCTTGCCAGGTGAAGCAAATGAACAAGGAAGTTCAGCCTGAATTTTCTTCCAGTGATATTAACAAAATTAAGAAATTCAGCAGAAGCCACCCAAAGGTATGCCTGAGATTGATGGTATTAGGAATACAGCACATAGGCCACCATTTAACAACATTCTTGGAACAGTTTTCAGTTAAAAAAATACTGTTAAGTTGACAGTATGGCAGATCTGACTTTCTTAAGATAGCAATGTCAGGTTCTCACCCCAGGGGTGAGAAAGGCGGTATATAAATGCAATAAATAAATAAATAAATAAATAAATAAAAGTATTTTTTTTAATCGAAAGCTGCTCCAAGAATTTTGTTAGATGGTGGCCTATAATAAATAAAAGGAATATTGAATCAATGTTTACTTCTACATTATTCTCTCAGAATGACAGTCCCCTGTGAGTAATGCTTCCTGTTTTCAATCTATATGTACTGTATATACTCGAGTATAAGCCTAGTTTTTCAGCCCCTTTTTTAGGCTGAAAAAGCTCCCCTCGGTTTATACTCGAGTCAAGGTTATTTATTATTTTACTCTGTTATTAGTATTATTTTTATTTCATGTATTATTTTACTCTCTTTATTATTATTACATTTACAGTATTTTACCTTATTATTATTACATTTATTATTTTACACTATTTATTATTATTATTACATTTATTATTTTACTTTATTATTGCATTTATTACTTTATTATTACATTTATTATTCTACTCTATTATTACTGTTATTGCATTTCCATTATTTTACTTTATTATTATTATTACATTTATTATTTTACTCTCTTTATTATTGTTGGAAGGATACATAAGTATATTCACTTTGAAGAAGGTTAGAATAATGATTTAATCAGAGTTGGGCAGTCTTATCTCAAATTATGGTTTTATGTATATATTCAAAAACATTTCACCTCCTGATGCCTCAATTAATGTAATTTTATTGGTATCTATTTTTATTTTGAAATTTACCAGTAGTGGCTGCATTTCCCACCCTCGACTTATACTTGAGTCAATATGTTTTCCCAGTTTTTTGTCATAAAATTAGGTGCCTCGACTTATAGTCGGGTCAGCTTATACTTGAGTATATACGGTATATCATTTATGTGCCGCCTTTCTCCTAGAGGCAGCTTTCAGAGCAGTCGAAAATACTCACAATGCTCACTATAAAGATCTGAAAACAAAGCTACGTAAAACATTTTTTTAAAAAATAACACAAATTTTATATTGAAATGTTATTATTTTATTTATTTGTACCCATTTCCCTCTAAAACAGAGGTCAAAAGCAACTTATAGTGAAACCAATACAATACCATTTAAAATCTAAAAATTCAACCAAATATTACAATAGAATTAAATATTAACAGTATTAAAAATAAACAGTTAGAACCAATTAAAAACTTATTCGTAGCTAAAGTCATTGCACCCCCTGATGTGATCTTAAACACTTTTTTAAAAGCCTGCCTGATTCAAAAAGTTTTTTAGTCTGAGAGCTTAATTTTATTTAGTTCAGGATTTTTTTGTGGCAAATTACTCAGCACAATAATGGTATTAATCTCCTTCTCTGAATAGTCTGCTTTATACGTTGAAATAAAAACTTCGCTTTTTGGTGTCACTTTAAGTGATTATCTTCACTTCTGTAGTCACGGATTCCTCTTTCCTTCCTGTGCCATAGGATGTGTTCGACCAGCTCTCCAGGTCTCTGGCTCCCAGTATCCATGGGCATGAATATATCAAGAAGGCCATTCTGTGCATGCTTCTGGGAGGTGTGGAGAAAGTGCTGGAAAACAGAAGCCGTCTCAGAGGAGACATTAACATCCTGCTCATTGGTACGGTTGGGCACTGGAGGGAAAAGACTTTGGGTAACATTTGTAGTGATGGGAATCTTTGGGGACTGATTAACGGGAAGGTTTTCTCAGAGCATCCAGCTACCATTTCCTCTTTTTCAGGTGATCCTTCTGTGGCAAAGTCTCAGTTGCTCCGTTACGTATTGTGTACAGCTCCCCGGGCCATCCCAACGACAGGCAGGGGCTCTTCCGGGGTTGGTCTGACTGCTGCAGTCACCACAGATCAAGAAACTGGTAAGAAGCAGGTTAGATTGTAAGGCAAAACATTGACTGCAGCTGGAAAAATGACTGATGTTTGGCTCTCAAGTTCTCTTTTGATTTGCTTCTTGGGTGGGAACTTAATATAGCAGTGAGCCTAGAGCTCACAGGGAATTAGTGGCAGAAGATTTGCTTTTGGGCACTAGAACAAGACTTCTTAAACTTTTCCGACTCATGGCCCCTATCTCCTCAAGGAATGTTTACAAGAATTTACGTATATGGGTATATAGATAAAGGTAAAGGTTTTTCCCTGACTTTAAGTCCAGTCGTGTCCGACTCTAGGGTGTGGTGCTCATCTCCATTTCTAAGCCAAAGAGCCGGCGTTGTCCGTAGACACCTCCAAGGTCATGTGGCTGGCATGACTGCATGGAGTGCCGTTACTTTCCTGCCAAAGCGGTACCTATTGATCTACTAACATTAGCATGTTTTTGAACTGCTAAGTTGGCAGAAGCTGGGGCTGACAGCGGGAGCTCATGCCGCTCCCCAAATTCGAACCTGCAACCTTTCGGGTCAACAAGTTCAGCATCTCAGCGCTTTAACCCACTGCACCACCGGGGGCTCCATATGGGTATATAAGATAGGGATAAAAATTGGTGTATGGAGCCACCGGGGGCTCCATATAGGTGTATAAGGTAGGGATAAAAATCAAATGTTTACTGATAACAAACCAGCATTCGCAAGGCTTACTAAGCAGGCAGGTTTCCCTTTTTGTGAAGTACATCTGAAATATTTTCTGCAGAGTTGCTGACAGTGTAAATGAATGGCACTCAGAAACCTTTTACTGTCCCCCTCCTTTTTTTTGGAATCGCAACATGAATTTGGGTTTGAGACATACTGTTTACAAAGCTCTGTAGTGGACTACTGTTAATGCTGAAGCAGCCAATTTCTTGGTCTGCCACTTGCTTGACTCATAGTGCCTCTTGTCATAAATAGGTGGTGATTTGGACATTTTTGTTATATTTTAGTTTTCATATATTTCTTTTTTTTTTAGCCTTTTCAGGGTTTTTTTTTAGCAGAAATGAAGGTTCAGTGAAGTATTTGTATTAAATATCAGAAAAACATATTCTCTTATGTCAAGAAACCATGTGGATGTTGGCATCTATTGCAGCTGGAAATTTACTTTTAGGGCAATTTTTGTTTTTTGCTGATCAAGCCTCTGTGGGCCTTGCACTGGTCTGATTGAATATTCTTTGGTCAGCATGAGGCATCTTAGTTTCTGCCATGAATATGGAGCTTAAATATTCATTGGTTGCAATAAACGAATATTTCGGTGCATCTAGGCTCATTTGTTTTTATTTTGTCTAGACCAGTGGTTTCAGCCTGGGGGTCCCCAGATGTTTTGGTCTTAAACTCCCATAAACCTCCCTAACAGACTATTTTATTAATGCTTGTTGACGTATTGTTTTAATTATGATTTATGTTTAATTGTGGTTTTACTATTGTAATTGTTTGTATTGGCATCATATCGGTGCCCAATGTAAGGCATTGGATTTTGTCATTATTTGTGTGTCAACCGCTTTGAGTCCCCCCAGGGGTGAGAAAGGCAATATATAAATACTGTAAACAAACAAACAAACAAACAAACAAATAAATAATAACAGCAGGTAAACTGGCTCGGATTTCTGGGAGTTGTAGGCCAAAACATCCGAGGACCCAGGGTTGAGAACCACTGGTCTTAGAGCAAAGCTTCTTAAAGTAGGGGTCTTAACCCCAAACAGTTACCCAAATGGGTAGTAGGGGGTTGCAAAACATTTCACCAAAAAGCATGTGGACAAAGAGAAGGAATTGGGCTGCTCCTTGAGAAAGTGGACAAGTGCTTTGTTTGTATATTTATGTTATACTAGCCATCCCCTGCCACGCGTTGCTGTGGTCCAGTCTGGTGATCTGGAAAATAAAGTAATGGTTTCTAACATATGTAATTCCTTTATGCTTGTGGGTAAACAGTATTCCTTGTTTCTGTGTCAGTGTTGATGTGGAGATTGTCTGGTTTGCCTATTCCGGAACATGTGACATATAATTGTCCTTCTTTAGGGGTCCCTTTCAAATCAATGATACTATATCTGAGTGTGAATCATATACCTATCTATCTATATCTATGGCTGGATGGCTCTTTGTCAGGAGGGCTTTGATTACATTTTCTTGCCCTGGTGAAGGAAGTTTGACTGGATGGCCTTAAGTATGGGGGTTCTGTGTGGGAAGTTTGCCCCAATTCTGTCGTTGGTGTGGTTCAGCATGCTCTTTGATTGTAGGCGAACTATAAATCCCAGAAAGTACAACTCCCTAATGTTAGGGTCTGTTTTCCCCAAACTCCACCAGTATTCACATTTGGGCAAATTGAGGATTCGTGCCAAGTTTGTTCCAGATCCATCATTGTTTGAGTCCACAGTGCTCTTTGAACTACAACTCCCAAACTCAAAGTCAAGGCCCACCAAACCCTTCTAGTATTTTCTGTTGGTCATGGGAGTTCTGTGTCCCAAGATTGGTTCAATTCCATCGTTGGTGGAGTTCAGAATGCTCTTTGATTGTAGGTGTACTATAAATCCCAGTAACTACAATTCCCAAATGACAAAATCAATTTTTTTGAGTGAGGGACATACATTGGGTTGTTAGGTGTCTTGTGTCCAAGTTAGGTGTCAATTCATCCAATGGTTTTTGAGTTCTGTTAATCCCACAAACGAACATTACGTTTTTATTTATATAGATACCTATAAACCTTGGGTCATGCACAAATTTCTTGAGTGGAAAGGGATCATGAGTAGAAAAGGTTTAATAAGTCCTGGTCTAGAGCAACAACAACAACAATAATAATAATAATAATCAGCAACAACAACAACATGTTCTGCCACTCTTTGTTTTTGTGTCATAGACTTGGAATGATAAACATCTGTGACAATATTGGGACTTACATGTCTTGTAATTCTGCCACCTAGTGGAGCTTCTACATTACTTTTCACAATGAATGCATATTCACTCAAATAAAAATGCCTGTGTTCATGTGAGTATTCATAACCATGGTCTTAATATTCTCTCTTCAGGGGAACGCTGTCTCGAGGCAGGTGCCATGGTTCTGGCTGATCGGGGTGTGGTTTGCATTGACGAATTTGATAAAATGTCTGATATTGACCGTACAGCTATCCATGAGGTTATGGAGCAAGGCCGTGTTACCATTGCCAAAGCAGGCATTCAGGCTCAGCTCAACGCACGCTGCAGCGTCCTGGCAGCTGCCAATCCAGTGTATGGCAGAGTAAGTACCATAATATACTTGAGTATAAGCCAACCCGAATATAAGTCGAGCCAGTCGACTTGACACATACATCTTTAACACTACACATTTTATTTTACTTTCTAAGGGTCAAGCAGTAAAATTGCCGTCTTTGATTCCTCCTTACAGTATGATCAGTACAAAACTCCCATGGAGAATATTGGCCTTCAAGACTCTTTACTGTCTCGCTTTGACTTGCTTTTCATCGTTTTGGATCAAATGGATCCAGAACGAGATAGAGAGATCTCAGACCATGTCTTGCGAATGCATCGTTTCAGGGCGGCTGATGAACAGGATGGGGATGGTGAGTGTTCCCTGTTCCTTTCTGTGTTGACAAATATGTCAAAATGTTACACAAAATTATAATTTTCTGGCCCTTCATTTTGTTTTCCCAATTGCCATAGATGTTTTATTGCCTGTGTGCAGTCAAGGAAGGTTTCCTTAACATAATAGCCCAAAGGACAATTTAGCCCCACCTAACCAAAATCCAGCCTGGAAGGGAAAGGGGAAATCAGATTTTGCCTATGTGTGTCACATTGATATTGAATACATAGAAAAATGGAAGACTCCTCCCTGCTAGAAGCAAGGGAACAGTCCCTGCAACTATGGAAGTACAGCTGTGCTTGCAATAAACTTTCCGATTCTGATAAAAAGATCTGAATAAAGAGCAGGACTTGTAGTTGAAGTGGAGCTTCACTGCATGGGCAGATGATGAAAATTGTGTTTCACACTAGATGGATCAATTGTAAGCTTTAGTAAAGCTCAGAGGTCCTCAAACTAAGGAATTCATTCATTTTTTTTTTCCAAATTATAATCCGGCCTTCCAACATTTTGAGGGACTGTGACCTGGCCCTCTGTTTAAAAGGTTTGAAGACCTCTGGTAAAGCTTCTATAAAATAGAGGTCTCAGGGTCCATTAGCAACAGCAGAGTGGACCAGAATACAGAAGACGTTCTTATGTCGAGAGGATGGCCTAAGGAAGGCACACAGTGGCTAAGAGACCTCCGAGTGCTCTCGGCCATTGCCTGTTTTGCTTCCTCCCAGCATAATGCCAAGAGGACAGCCTGAAGATTGAGGGAGGAGGATCGGGACTGTCTTGTTTTCCTCCTGGCATAAGGATGGGGTGAGCAGCCCTGACCTTATTTGAGGAGGACAACTTGAGGATGACCCTGATCCTTCATGTGATGAATGCATCTGATGGTTGACAAAATGGATTTGTTGCCCTAAGAGGCTTACAGTCTACAACAGGCACAGGGAAACAGAATTTTCTGTATCGATAATTGGAAAAAGAAGTGGATACATTCTTGTTTCAGTTAGACGTATTTGATTATTAGAATGAGTTTAGACAAGTGGGGCTCTTTCCTCTCTAGGACAAGCTGCAGAACTCTAAACGTTAAATGTAATTATTAGAGGCATGAGAACTATACAATTAGGCCCAAAGTTTATTTCCTATCAGCACGATGTGCTTCATTTTAAAGCAGCCTTTGCAGAGACATGTCAGTATATCTCAAATGTTTTCACTATTTTTACTAAAAACAATTGCTCTCTCCCTACTATAGCAATAAAGAACAATGTGTTTTTCGTGTGCGAAAAGTGCAGCTTGTGCATGTTATGTGGTCCAGTGGCCTAGTTGGGTATCATTCAGGAACTCTTCCTTTATATTTGCAGCCATGCCGCTAGGAAGCACAGTAGACCTTTTGGCTACTGACGATCCTGCTTTTGCTGTAGAGGAGGACCAGGAGGTACAAGTGTATGAGAAACATGATGACCTGCTGCACGGGCCTAAGAGGCGGAAGTAAGCACTATCTTCAGTAGCCTTCTTCATTGAGGATAGTCTGTGCATTTATTTGTTAAGAATATTAATTACTCAGATATTTCACCATGTAATAATAATAATAATAATAATAATAATAATAATAATCTTTATTTATACCCCGTCACCATCTCCCCAAGGGACTCGGAGCGGCTTACATGAGGCCAAGCCCAAACACCACATCAATAAAACAAAAGGCAATAAACACAAAATAATAAATACAATACAATTAATATAAATCACATATAACAATAACCAATAAACAACAACACATAAAGAATTAAAAACCTGTGGCCAGGCCAAATGTAATAGTTAAAAAAAATCGAAAATTTAAAAAAATAAACACTGGGCACGAACAAGGTAGGATATATATTGCTGGGAATTTTCCTTATTCTGGGAAGGCACACTGGAACGGCCACATTTTCAGGCTCCTCTTAAAGACTGCCAATGTTGGGGCATGCCTGATGTCCTTGGGAAGTAAGTTCCGGAGTCGGGGGGCCACCACCGAGAAGACCCTCTCCCTCGTCCCCACCAATTGCACCTGCGAAGGAGGCAGGAGCGCAAGCAGGGCTTCTCCAGATGATCGAAGAGATCGTGTGGTTCATACACAGAAATGCGGTCACCATGTAGACTCTCAGAGCTTTACAGATAGTTAATTTAACAGTTCCATGACCTCTGGCTTACAATTGAAATAGGACACAAGAAAATGGGATGGCACTGAGGGAGAGGATTAAGCCCAGCAGATACTAGCTCTTTGATGGAGTCAGTATGCTTTACGGTAGTGGCCTCTTGGATGGAGAGGGAGCTATCATTTGCTTCTGGGCCTGATAGAGCTGAGCCTGCTTCTTCTCCCTCCACAGTCAGGCACTTGGGGGTGGGGGGAGGGAGGGACTTTCATCTGTTTCTGGGCCAAGGCATGGTGGAGCTGTACCTGTCTCTTCTTCTCTCACTCTGAGGCCAGGGCAGCTGGTCAATGATCTACCACGTGTACTAATTCAGAATTTTCTCAATTTGAAATGAAACTGATAAGTGTTGAAGAAAGTGAATGAGGGAGGGAAGTTGAATGTATTACATGTAATCCTAAGGAGGTGTATTTATTTATTTATTGCTTTGTTGTTCTTACGTATTGGGACACTCCTTGAGCTATGCGTATTTGATTCTTAGAAGTGTTAAACCTGGTATCTTTGCAAGTGGGGCTCATTTGTTTATGAAACTTGGATTGCTTTGTCACACAGAGAGAAAATAGTAAGCGTGGCATTCATGAGGAAATATATACATTTCGCCAAGATGCTCAAGCCCGTCTTGACTGAGGAAGCCGCTGCCTTCATAGCACAGGAATATTCTTCTCTTCGCAGTCAGGACCAGATCAGCTCAGATATTGCCAGGGTGAGTAGCAAGTGGGATTGCCTTATGTCTGTTATAACAGGCTGTGCTTTTTATTTAATTTTAGTTTGTTAAGTTATAATTCGTATTTATATGTCGGGTTATGTGAATTTTGTTAGTATGGATGTGTTGTTGTATTCGGGCATTGAGTCCACAGCAGACACTCTGCTGGCTGTTGAATTGGATCACACGCCGGACACTTCCCAAGTGTCTAGGACTGTGTGATGTTTCGGCGAATCATACATGCACATCCCAGTAGGGTAGCCTTCTGCAGCTGGCAGATGGTAATTTTGTCAGTGCCGATTGTGTTTAAGTATAGGCCAAGGTCTTTGGCACTGCACCCAGTGTGCCGATCACCACTGGGACCACCTTTACTGGTTTGTGCCAGAGTCTTTGCATTTCGATTTTTAAACCCTCATATCGTGTCAGCTTTTCCAGTTGTTTCTCTGCAATCCTGGGACTGCGACATCAACTTTGTTTTTTAACACAATTGTGAGGTCAGGAGTATTATGTTCCAAAACTCTGTGTATCTGAATCCGGAAGTCCCAGAGGAGTTTGGCGTGTTCATTCTCTGTAACATTATTGTTATTATTACTAGCTGTCCCCTGCCACGCGTTGCTGTGGCCCACTCTGGTGGTCATGGCGGTTCTGTGTGGGAGGTTTAGCCCAATGCTATTGTTGGTCGGGTTCAGAATGCTCTGTGATTGTAGGTGAACTACAAATCCCAGCAACTACAACTCCCAAATGTCAAGATTCTATTTTCTCCAAACTCCACCAGTGTTCACGTTTGGGCATATTGGGTATTCGTGTAGAGTTTGGACCATTGTTTGAGTCCACAGTCCTTTCTGGATGTAGGTGAACTACAAATCCAAAACCAAAAGGCACTGCCCCCCAAACCCTTCCAGTATTTTCTGTTGTTCATGGGAGAACTGTGTGCTATGTTTGGTTCAATTCCATCGTTGGTGCAGATTAGAATGCTCTTGATAAATAATAAATCTCAATTACAATAAATCTCAATTACAATAAATCTCAATTACAACTCCCAAATGACAAAATCATTTTTTTTAGTGAAGGACATAGATTGGGTTGTTAGATGTCTTGTGTCCAAATTTGGTGTCAATTCATCCAGTGGTTTTTGAGTTCCGTTAATCCCACAAACGAACATTACATTTATATTTATATTTATTTATTTATTTACTTTATTTCTATACCGCTTTTCTCAGCCCTCAGGCCACTCAAAGCGGTGAACAACATTAGTACAAAACATCACAAAACAAGTATAAGGCAATTAAAAACAGTTATCACATAAATCATTAACATCAGTATAACAATCATTAGCGCCTCAACAGTAAAATCAGAATCCAGTCTCGTCATCCATTATTCCGTATTCCTATGTTCAATTACACTGTTTAATCAAATGCTTGTTCGAACAGCCAGGTCTTCACTTTCCTCCGAAACGCCAGCAGGGAGGGCCAATCTGATATCTGCAGGCAGGGCGTTCCACAGCCGAGGGGCCACCACTGAGAAGGCCCTGTCTCTCGTCCCCGCGAAGCATGCCTGTGATGCAGGCGAGACTGAGAGCAGGGCCTCCCCAGATGATGATGATGATTATTATTATTATTATTAAAAGAGTGTGGGAAGAGCAAATTAGAGCAAATAATCTGTGAACTGGATTTGAATACCACATATTGCCTATGACAGAATGTTATTCTTTGCTTGTCTTTGCACCTTTGTGGCTGGAGCATTATATTTGCACATGGCTGAACCAAGGTTTAACTTCCTGATGAATTAGAAAGAGTACTGGATGTACATATTAGTACTATTTTGCCTTCAGATAATGTAGATTGGGTTTTCAGAGGATCAGGATAATTCTGCCCGGAAGTTTTTTTTGTTTGTTTTGAGAAAAACCTCCGAATTTTGAGAAGACAATTTCCACCGCTGAGAGCCGTTCAGCAGTGGAACTCGCTGCCCTGGAGTGTGGTGGAGGCTCCTTCTTTGGAGGTTTTTAAACAGAGGCTAGATGGCTATCTGTCAGGGGTGCTTCGAATGCAATTTTCCTGCTTCTTGGCAGGGGATTGGACTGGATAGTCCATGAGGTCTCTTCCAACTCTATGATTCTATGATTCTATAATTCTTCCTTTCTTGGAGAACCAAGTAGTTTCTGGTGGAAGGACTGGGCACCAAAACTATAGCACTGAACGCAGTTTAATATCAATACAGCTGGAAAGCACCCAAAGATGATCCACTGCAGCATCCTAGTTAGATTAATTTGTGACACTTGCTGTCTCTCATATCATGCTATCCTGTTGATATGCTTGTGCTTCAGTTGTAATAAACAGCTATGAAATGTTGGTTGTTCCCCTTGAATGTGGATTTCTCCTGTTGGTGTATTACAATAATAAATACTTTGATTTCTTGCTTTCTTTTCCTTTGGCGACGGATTGGCCACATCTGTCCTTTTCCAGACTTCTCCTATTACAGCCCGTACATTGGAGACTTTGATTCGACTCTCAACTGCACATGCTAAAGCAAGAATGAGTAAAACAGTTGGCAAACAAGATGCTGAAGCTGCTTTAGAGCTCGTTCAGTTTGCCTACTTTAGAAAGGTATGTTTACAAGTATAAAGTTGCCTGCTTTCAAATGAAACAAAATGAAAAGCAAAATTGGAATAAATAGTTAGCTGATGCATAAGAAACAATCGGGGCCAGTTAACACCTTCTCACAAAGGATTCCCCCCAGGCAGCAACCAGCCAGGCTTTGAAGCTGCAAGGCCATTCAGTGCTGATCAAGGTGGCCAATTGGAACACTCACACTTGCCTCAAGCAGAGAACAGTTCTTTCTGCCATCCTGGATATTCCCCAGATATATAAACCCCACTTGTCTAGTTTCCAAAAGACCTCACAACCTCTGAGGATTCCTGCCATAGATGTGGGTGAAACGTCAGGAGAGAATGCTTCTGGAACATGGTCATAAAGCTTGGAAAACTCACTGCAAACCCAATAAACTGGTGTTCTTGTTAACATAGTGACCACTTGGGTTGTTTAGGGATTCATAAGTAGAAACATAGTGGAAGTAATTGATAGCTAACATGACTAGCAGCCAAATTTGTCTGGTCTTCTTTGGAAACTGTTCTGCCTAGTGTACACCTACAAAGTTCTGTCATTCTTGGTCAATTAATGTTAACATAAATTTCATCAGTGTGTATTTGAAGTTGGAACTGACCCACTGAAATTTTCCATTCCTGTGTGAAATGCCACTTTGTTAATAATCAGCTTCAGTGAAATTTTGTTATTTCATAACTGCTAAACATATCTGATGAGCATAACTGTAGCTTGGTTTGCTTCTCTCATTTGAAAAGGTTTTGGAAAAAGAAAAAAAACGTAGAAAGCAGGCTGACGAGGATACAGACCAGGAAACTAACGAGGAAGTTGCAGATGAAAATGAAAGACAACAAAAAAAGAGGTAAGGGGAAAAGTGGGGTAAGATTGTTGTTGTTATCATTATTATTATTAGAGTCTGTAGCAGCGGTTCTCAATCTGGGGGTCGCGACCCCCAGGGGTGTCGCTGGGCCATTTTCGAGGGGTCGCAAAGCCGCCTAGGTTGGCCCCGCCCCCTCCAAAATGGCTGCCGACCCACTGTGCCAGCCAAAAAGCTGGCACTTCAGGTCAGCTCCTCCTCTTCCCACAGGGCTGTGGGGAGGCAAGAGGAAGAGCATGGAGGAAAAGGCGCGAGAAGAAGGCTCACCATTTCTTGAGACTTTTTGACAGACAGGGTGAGCTCCTGTCTGTCAGCTCCAGCTTCCCATGCAGGGACATGAGAGAAGCTTCCCACAGGATGGTAACATATCCAAGCATCCCCTAGGCAATGTCATTATAGACAGCCCATTATCTCACACCAGAAGCAATTTGCAGTTTCTTAATTCCCTCCTGACACACACAAAAAAGCCAACTAGGAGATCTGATCTTACACTTGCCTTCAGGGAGTACCCAAACATAAAATCCCATTGTCTACTGGATGTTTTATAACTATTTTCATCCTCTTCTGTTATAACTGATACATAGAGGTCACTGTGGAACTAACCAACTATTTGTCTGATTGCTTCTTGCATGGTTGACCATTTGGATGTATGCTTTTTAATGATTCCAGAAATTGAAAGGATCTAAAGGGAACTTTGTCTTTGTCTCTCCCTCCAACTTCCAATAGTTTTCAGTTTGACATGAAAAATATAGAAAATGGATTAATTTTCACAAAATAATTCAGACTCCGTTGTAGAATTAGTATGAGCTATATTAGTCGCTAATATGGAATAATTTCTCATACAGAATTGATTAAAAATATTGCTGCTTAATTTTTTATCCTTTTGTAGAAGAAAGACACTTTCTAGTGACCAGGACACCATGGAAGAGGAAACCTATGATCCTTACGACTTTAAGGCCACTGAAAAAGAAATGCCAGAAGGTGAGCAGGTTCCCCCTATCCTTTGCTTTGAATAGATTAAAGCAGGATTTTAATTTTATAATAGCATTGTTCATTGATAATTGCCATCAAGTTAACCAAAATTAACACATGGTTGCCCTTTGAATGACAGACAGCCAGTTTTTGTGACTTCATTCTACAATTCTTCTGGCTTCTAATCAGTTAGGTTAATGATACAGTTCTATTTTTTACATTAAATTCTACAGGAATATTCTTCACGTTGTAGTTTGATTTAGTGCTCCTTTTTAGCAGGATTTTAAAATCTGTTCGGTTTAGTTCAGAGTCTGTGAAATAGTCTGTCCAGGTCAGAGAGAATGGAATGACCCCATCTTCTTACAGCTTTGCAGTCTATTTGATTTCTGGTGATGTTCATGTACGGTCATCCATCCATATTTGTGATTGCAAAGTTTGTGGATTTGATTATATTTGGGTTATTTACTACTGATTTATTTATTTATTTACTGTATTTGTATACCGCCCTTCTCAGCTGACTAAGAGCGGTTTACAATGGCAAGAATTCAATGCCCCAAAACACCATGAAACATTTAAAAACATTAACACATAATATAAAACTTGACCACGATGGTCCATGCTTAGTTACCTCTAGACTGCGTTGCACTCTACGTGGGGCTACCCTTGAAGATGGCCTGGAAGCTACAACTTGTCCAACGCTCGGCAGCCAGATTAATAACTGGCGCGACTTACAGGGAGCGGTCAACCCCCCTGTTTAAGGAGCTCCATTGGCTGCTGTTTATTTTCCAGGCCCAATTCAAGGTGCAGGTTATCACCTACAACGGTTTGGGACCCGTCTACCTTCGTGACCGTATCTCTCTCCATGAACCAACCCTTCGATCTTTGGGGGAGGCCCTCCTTTCGCCCCTGCCAATCTCACAGGCTCGACTTGTGGGCACAAGGGAGAGAGCCTTCTCCTCTGTGGCTCCCCGACTCTAGAACTCATTACCTGGAGAGATCAGGAAAGCCCCTACACTAGAAACGTTTAAAAAGAACCTTAAAACTTGGCTCTTCTGCTGCGCCTTTGGCGAGTAGGTGCGCAATATGACACTGTTGCTCTCCTCTACGCTTCTGTCACTGGAGTACACCCCCCCCCCCAAATTGGAAGTTTAGTTTCACAACCTAGTGTGTCTTTATGAGCTCCCTGCAAATAACTTGCTCCTATTTTCATCTCATTAGAGTTTTTAACTTTTTAACCTGTACATGTGGCCCACCCATTGTTACTTCAACTGTGTTTTTTGTTTATTGTAATATTATTTTGTTATTGTATTCATTTTTTTTCCTTTTGATGATGTTGCTTGTTGTTTATGGTTTTGTTTTGTTTTGATGTAATATGTTGTTTGGGCTTGGCCCCATGCAAGCTGCTCCAAGTCCCCATTGGGGAGATGGTGGCGGGGTATAAATAAAGTTTATTATTACTAAAACCATAAGAAGAATATTAAAACATAGATCATTTGCATCTCTTAATTAAAAAAAACATTGTCCCATCTCGTCGTCCAGTTGTTCCAATTCCTATTTATTTATTTACTCTATTTGTATATTGCCCTTCTCAGCCCGCATGTGACTCAAGGCGGTTTACAGAGGCAACAATTCAATGCCCAACAACACCATAAAAACATTTAAAAACATTAACATATAATATAAAACCATAACAAGATCAATAAGACATAAATCATTTGTGTCTCCTAGTTAAAAAGTTGTCCAATCTCCTATGTCTCTTACCTTGCATTTTCCAACGCTTGCTCAAACAAACAAGTCTTGACTCTTTTCTGAAAGGTTAAGAGGGAGGGGGCCGATCGAATGTCCCCAGGAATGGCGTTCCATAGCCGAGGGGCCACCACTGAGAAAGCCCTGTCTCTCGTCCCCACCAAACGTGTTTGTGACGCAGGCGGGATCGAGAGAAGGGCCACCCTGTATGATCTTAAAGTCCTAGCAGGTTCATACTTCCTCCACTATATCTATATCCTTCCTCTGTAATAATGCCACCCCATTTCTTCTTTGATTTCCATTTCCTGAGTAAAACTATAATTGACTGAAAATGTCCCACTTTTGTCCACTTTAGCACACACACCAAGTATTGCAATATTTATAATTCCTGTTTCTTGTTTTGCTATTTATAGCCTCCTGTGATTCTTGCTTCTCACATTCCATGTTCCTATACAATGTTTTGTGCAGTTTGAACTTCCTATCGCCTCTGTGCAGGTCAATAGCTGTACATCCTTTTGCCTGTGTTTTATGGATGGAGGATTCAAACTGATAAGTTAAATCCAAATGTATACAAACAGTTAATTAATTTTTAAAGTGTGATTTGAACCTATGCAGTTGCCTTTTTTGTTGGTATAAACAAGAAATACATAACACCAGTTGGTAATTTCATTTCCTTTGTTGCTATATTCTAGTCCAAGCCCATACTCCAAAGACTTCTGAACCCACAGATGCTGCGGAGATGAAATCAAAGCTGTCTGAATCGAGGTAAGTAGTATGAAACAAAGTATAATAGGACAGATTTTAATAAAATATTGTTCTTAAGTGCTCATGTACAATTGCCAGGGCTTTATAACAGTGAAATAAAGCAAAGTAGATTATATTTATTCTGACACCTCATTCTTTTCAAAGACTAAAGTTATTTGCTTAGGCAAAGCAACTTTAACACAGCAAGTCACCTATATGAATCCATCTCCCTGTCTGATGGAACATTTCCAGACTATTGTGATTGAAGTGCTTATATATTGTTTTCTGTTTCGATGATCAATTCTGTATGTGATTACATATGGGCAATACATGCTTTTATATTGTGGGGCATGCAATTTGCAAGATTATTGCATATGTGAGCTGTCTTAATGCTACTGAATCCAACAGTAATGCTAAGACTTGAAGCTGAATCTGTTTTAAGGGATTCCCATCCAGGTGTTTAAGAATATAAAAATAATGACGTTTGCAGTTTTAGTGAAGCCCCCCCCCTTCATTCTCAAAATTAATGTAATAGTTAATTATATATTTATTTAAGGATCACTAGAGAAGAAATATGATAATATATAACAAGGTGGAAATTGCTTCCATTTAGAGTAGGTACTGCTGATTAGGAGGCAGAAAAAAGTCTGACTTGTTATAAAAGAGCTTTCACGGTGGGAATCACTGGGATGTTGTGTGGTTTCTGGGCTGTATGGATGTGTTTTAGCAGCCTTTTCTCCTGACATTTTGCCTGCATCTCGGGATCCTCTGTAAAGAGACCAGCTACAGATGCACGCGAAATGTCAGGAGAAAATGCTGCTAGAACATGGCCATACAGCCCAGAAACCACACAACAACCCAAAAAGCTTAATATTTCCCCTGCGGCCTATAAAGAGTGTATGGGAAGGGGGGGGGGGATACATATTCCATTTGTGTATTTTGTCTGAAGATGAACTGTTCCAAAACGCACATGGCTGTAGAAAAGGCATACAGAACTTATTAAACCAAAACTATGTTGTGATGACAGATTGACTGGAAAATCAAGGTGCATTTCCAGTCGCTTTATTTGGGCTTCTCCCTTGTTCTGACTGTTCCCTCTCAAGATTATTCTTGCTGTGCTATAGCTGCTTTAGTAGGGAGAGTTATTGCATGAGTGGCATTGCAGTGCAGTAGAAACTAGGCTTGGTTGATTAAAAAAAAGGTTCTAAACTCATTTTGGATGTAGGGGGCGCTGGTGGTTCAATTCTAAAGTCAATTCTGAGTTTAACAGAAAAAAAATTCGAAACTTTTTGAAACTTCTGAGACTTTCGAATCCTTTCGTTAATCRTTTGAAAGTGTTATTTCCTGTTTCATTGGGTGGTCTTTACTTTGAAAGTAGTTGTTTTACTCCAGAGGCGGGGAAAAGCAAGAGGAGGAAATTCCTTCCTTCTCTGGTTTAAAACTGGCTTGAGCTGAGGCCAGGAAATTCCTTTCTTCTCTGGTTTAAAATGGGCTTCTCTGGCTTGAGCCAAGGCCAGGAACCAGAAGTGGGGAAAAGCTGGCTTCTCTGGCTTTAAAACTGGCTTCTCTGGCTTGAGCCAAGGCCAGGAAATTCTTTCCTTCTCTGGTTTAAAACTGGCTTGAGCTGAGGCCAGGAAATTCCTTCCTTTTCTGGTTTAAAACCGGCTTCTCTGGCTTTAAAACTGCTTCTCTGGCTTGAGTCTAGGCCAGGAAATTCCTTCTTTCTCTGGTTTAAAACTGGCTTGAGCTGAGGCCAGGAAATTCATTCCTTCTCTGGTTTAAAACTGGCTTCTCTGGCTTGAGCCGAGGCCAGGGACCAGAAGCAGGGAAAAGCAAGCAGAGGAAATTTCTTCCTTCTCTGGTTTAAAACTGGCTGGAGCTGAGGCCAGGAAATTCCTTCCTTCTCTGGTTTAAAACCGGCTTCTCTGGCTTTAAAACTGGCTTCTCTAGCTGGAGCCTAGGCCAGGATATTCCTTCTTTCTCTGGTTTAAAACTGGCTTCTCTGGCTTGATCCGAGGCCAGGGACCAGAAGCAGGGGAAAACTGAATTATTTCCGACTCACTGAGTCGTAACAAAAATGGTGGAAAAAGGGACTTCCGGTTTTTTAAAAAGCTTCAATATCGCTTCAAAAAGGCAATTTTAACTAAATTATTGCAAGCAACAAGTTATCTGAGCAACTCTATCCATGTCTAGTAGAAACCTCTTGGCTTTACTGGCTTGTCAATGGCTGTTTTGAGTAGTGTCCAGGCTATGAGGGCCAAGCAGTAGAATGTGATTTATGGATGTGCTGATAAATGATTATATCTTTAGGTCCTAAATGATAAGACTGAAAATGTGTTTTCTCTGCATGCATAGGCTTAAAGCATTCAAGAGTGCTCTTCTGGGGGCGTTCAGAGCGGCCCATGCACAGTCCGTGAGTCTGAAGAGTCTGATGAAATCCATCAATGAAGATAACCCAAGTCCTTTTTCTCCTGAAGAAGTCAATATAGCCTTGGAAAAGATGCAAGACGACAATCAGATCATGATGTCAGATGACATAATTTTCCTGATTTGAACTGACGCCTAGGCAGAAGTAGGAGTTTCTTTTCACTGCTTTAATATGGCGACTTTTGTCAGCACCTCCTTGGCTTGATTGACCTGAGGATTCGTGATCAGGAGAATCTATGCTATGAAACTGGTTTTTGTTGTTTTTTACTTCTTTGTTGAATACAAGGGGAAGATAGGAAAAGTAAATGTTTCCTTCTTTCAAATTGAAAGGAAGCCATCTACTTCAAGTTAGGTAGAAGGACACACTGGAAGAAAGAAAAACACAGATCCTCTACAGTTCAGTGTCTTCACAATAGAGGTTGATGTATGGTAGAGTCTTTCTCCTTTCTGCTGCCCTGTGTGAATTAAAGCCTAAGTCACGTATCTTTAATTTCAGTCATCAGCTTTATGAATTAATGTTATTGCAGCATATTAAAATGTATTTACAAACAAAAATGGCACTGCTCTGATTAGGAACTGCAAACGGTATGCCTGTATCTCTTTCCATTGCCACCAACATTGTCATTTGAATCATGGAAAGAATCATTTTGAATCACCAACTTCTTCCTGGAATATTTTTGGTTACTGTGGTAAACTGGTTCAAAGCACTGAAATTGGGCCTAGTTTTGCATTATGTGAGAGTTGTTTCTATATTTGCATTTGCATCCCCCTCTCCCCCTCCTGACATTATGGTAACTGTTGAATTACGAAAGCAGGGTTGTATTCTGCCTTGGGCCCTTACTTCATTGTATTCCAATCTGCAAAAGCATTCAATTCCATTTTAAATATAAATATTGCAATAAAGATTTAATACTGTATAGCAGAACTCAATACAGCGTAAAGTTAAATATGATTTAAACAGAATTTCTCACAATTATACACCCAGATTCACCAATGAATTGTGTTGATAATGTATCAAAGTGTATGTGTGTTTATATCTTGCCCTTCTCCCAACACAGGACTGAAGGTTTAATTCTTTATACATTGTAGAATAAAGGAAAATGCAGCTAAATCCTAATAATAAAAAAGTTTCAAAGCATTAAGTTGTTTAATTTTGAAATTAATTTTAAGCACTGGGTTGCAGTGGGTTTTCTAGATTGTGTGGCCATGTTTCAGAAGCATTCTCTCCTCACGTTTTGCCCACATCTATGGCAGGCATCCTCAGAGGTTGTGAGGTCTGTTGGAAACTAGGAAAATTGGACTCTGGAACTCATTTCCCAAGGATATCAGACAAGCCCCACATTGGCAGTCTTTAGGAGGAGCTTGAAAACGTGGCTGTTGCAGTGTGCCTTCTCTGAATAAAGGAAACAATGCCTTGATCTGATTAATTCTCTGCAATTGTCCTCAGAAGCACTTTACTACCCATTGGGTTGGTCTCCCTACATTATCTTTTAAAACAATCCTGCTTAGATACATCCTACCTTTAAAATTTTTAAATTTATTACATCTGGCCCGGCCATAAAGTTTTAAATTCTCTGTGTTATGGTTTATATGTGAGTTATATTAATTGTACTCTTTTATTTGCTTGCTGTTTTGTTTTTACTGATGTGTTGTTGGGCTTGGCCTCATGTAAGCCACCCCGAGTCCCCTTGGGGAGATGGTGGCGGGGTATAAATAAATTATTATTATTATTATTATTATTATTATTATTATTATTATTATTATTATTTATATATCTGTGGAATGTCCAGGGTGGGAGAAAGAACTCTTGTCAAAACAAGTCATGCCAGGCTAATCTGATCTCTTCTTTTCGATAGAGTTACAAGCTGGGTAGATGCAGGGAACGCTGTGGATGTAGCACATCTGAATTTCTGTAAGGCCTTTGACAAGGTGCCCCATGACCCCCTGGCAAACAAACTAGTCAAATATGAGCTAGGCAAAACTATGGTTAGATGGATCTGTAATTGGTTAAGTGAACGAACCCAAAGGGTGATTCACCCCAAGGCTTCCTCTTCATCCTGGAAAAACGTGACGAGTGGAATGCCAAAAGCAGGGTTCGGTCCTGGGCCCGGTCCTGTTCAACATCTTTATTAATGATTTAGAGGGAGGGTTGGAAGGCAGCAGCATCTAGTTTGTAGAGGACACCAAATTGGGAGGGATAGCCAATACTCCAGAAGACGAACAGAATTCAAAACGATCTGAACAGGTTAGGGAGATGGGCCAAAACTAACAAAATTAAGTTCAATAAGACAGATACTCCACTTAGGCAGAAAAAAAATGAAAGGCAAAGATACAGAATAGGGGATGCCTGGCTCAACAGCAATATGTGTGAAAAAGATCTGGGAGTCCTTGTGGACAACAAGGAATGTGATGTGGTGGCTTAAAATGCCAATGGGATTTTGGCCTGCATAAATAGGAGTCTAGTGTCTAGATCCTGGAAAGTCATGCTATTCCTCTATTCTTCTGCCTTGGTCAGACCACACCTGGAATCACACTGTGTCCAATTCTGAGCACCGCAATTCAAGGGAAATGTTGACAAGCTGGAATGGGTCCAGAGGAGGATGATTAAAATGATCAAAAGTCTGGAGAATAAGCCCTATGAGGAGCGGTTCAAAGAGCTGAGCGTGTTTAGCCTGCAGAAGAGAAGGCTGAGAGGAGACATGATGAGGGGCCATGTATAATATGTGAGGGGAAGTCAGAGAGAGGAGGGAGCAGGCTTGTTTTTAGTGGGTCTGTGGAATGTAGGTTGTGCTTCATCCGCTTCTCTGCGGTCAGTGATAAGAAACTTTTCCTCTGGGTGGATCTTTTGATTTTAAGCACATTTTTCAAAATAAAAGATAGTAGTACAATGCACTCCATTAAAACAGCTTTCTACCACAATCAGTTAAGAACCGAAGGAAGACCTGACTAAATACTTTGGACTTATCTTTCACATCTGAGTATATCAAGTACTGAACATTCTTTCAGTACATTTGTAGCTTTATACACAACAGTATCCATACTTTTTTTCCCCTTCCCTCCAGTGGCATATTGAGAGCTTTCCTGCTTCACCTTCCAGCACTGTCTCTTTTATCAGTTTCATTGTCTCATTGCAAGTCTTTGTTTGATATAAAAGGCATTGCCATCTTTTATGCAGTCCCAACAAAAAGTTAGATAAAGTGCTTCTGTTGTTGTCTGAGAAATCCTATCCCAGTGTCAATGCCCATTACTTGCTGCTGCTCAGTAGCTGTTTGGTGCATTTAGTCTGGCTTTTTAGCAAAAGTCTGTCTGATATGGGAGGGCCTATGTGTAGCAATTAGGCATGTGCAATCCATGGTTCTAAATGGTTCTAAAGCAGTGTTTCTCAACCTGGGGGTCGGGACCCCTGTGGGGGTCGCGAGGGGATGTCAGAGGGGTCAGCAAAGACCATCAGAAAACAGTATTTTCTGTTGGTCATGGGGGTTCTGTGTGGAAAGCTTGGTCCAATTCTATTGTTAGTGGGGTTAAGAATGCTATTTTATTGTGGGTGAACTATAAATCCCAACAATTACAACTCCCAAATGGCAAAGTCTATTTTCTCCAAACTCTACCAGTGTTCACATTTGGGCGTATTGAGTATTTGTTTGATCCAGATCCATCATTGCTTGAGTCCATAGTGTTCTCTGGATGTAGGTGAACTACAACTCCAAAAACTCAAGGTCAATACCCACCAGACATTTTCTCACAATATTTTCTCTTGGTCATGGGAATTCTGTGTGCCATGTTTGATTCAATTCCATCATTGATGGAGTTCAGAAGGTTCTTTGATTTAAGGTGAACTATAAATCCCAGCAACTCCAGCATTACCAAATGACAAAATCAATCACCCCCAACCCCACCAGTATTCAAATTTTGGGCGTATCAGGTATTTGTGCCAAATTTGGTCCAGTGACTGAAAATACATCCTGCATATCAGATATTTACATAACGATTCATAACAGGAGCAAAATTACAGTTATGAATAGAGTTCTGAAACACAACAAACAGCCATTTGTCAAACCCTGTATTGTAATGAAGGGAGTGTATTACAGGTTGCTGTAGTTTCAAACTCTTTTGGAGAGAAGATAGAGAGGTTAGGTCAGTGGTTCTCAACCTTCCTAATGCCACGACCCCTTAATCCAGTTCCTCATGTTGTGGTGACCCTCAACTATAACATTATTTTCATTACTACGTCATAACTATAAGTTTGCTATTGTTATGAATCGTAATGTAAATATCTGATATGCAGAATGTATTTTCATTCACTGGACCAAATTTGGCACAAATACCTGATACACCCAAATTTGAATACCGGTGAGATTGTGAGAGGGATTGATTTTGTCATTTGGGAGTTGTAGTTGCTGGAATGTATAGTTCACCTAGATTCTGAACTTCGCCAATGATGGAAGTTAATCAAACTTGGCACACAGAACTCCCATGACCAACAGAACATACTGGAAGGGTTTGGTGGGCACTGATCTTGATTTGGGGGAGTTGTAGTTCACCTATATCCAGTGAGCACTGTGAACCCAAACACCAATGGATCTGGAACAACTTGGCATGAATACTCAATATGCCCAAATGGGAACACTGGTGGAGTTTGGGGAAACTAGACCTTGATATTTGGGAGTTGTGGTTGCTGGGATTTATAGTTCACCTACAATCAAAGAGCATTCTGAACTCTGAAGATAGATTTGGGCCAAACTTCCCACACAGAACCCCCATGACCAAGAGAAAATATTGTGTTTTCTGATGGTCTTTCGCGACCCCTTTGACATTCCCTCGCAACCCCCACCGGAGTCCTGACTCCCAGGTTGAGAAACACTGCTGTAGACACAGCCATTTGTCAAACCCTATATTGTAATTAAGGGAGTTTATTACAGATTGCTGTAGTTTCAAACTGTTGCAGAGAAGATGGGGGTTAGACGAAGGAGGCGGAGATTATGTTCATTTGTGATGCTTTGCCCAGCTTTGTTCCAAGAGTGGAAAGGTCTACCATGCCATCATCTTGGCCACTGAATTTATTTTTTGTAGTCTTCCCATTACTCTGCTTCTGGAAAGGTGGTGGTCCACAGATTTGATTTCGAAAACACCTGCATCACCACCAGAGAATTGGATCCTTGGGTGAAGGGTAGGCAAAGTGGCCTTCTGATAGAACTGGATTGCAACTCATACCAGCCCTAGATATCACAGCCAGTGGTGAGGAATGATACCTACAATTCAATAATATCCCTTTCCAGCCAATTAATTTTACCCCACTTTACTTTCTCTCAGTTCTCTCAATCTTCCATGCTTCCAGTAGTGCCAGCCAGATTTTAAACCCACTTCCCAGCCTACAAACCTCTGTGGGACTGAGTTATTGGAATGAGATGAGATTGAAAGGAGGAGCATTGGAGAAAGAGGAATGGGGTGATGGGGTGGAAATCTGATTGAGGCATCTTGGTAGGAAAGTGAGTAATTGGTGCAGTTTAAGCCTTGGTGGGACTTAAAGTATTCTCCACTTTCAAGGGGTTCTGTGCCCTTCACCTTCATGAATGGACAGGGTTGACTGTAGACTCAGCAAAACACTGAAGATAGTGTCCTACTGTTCAGTGCTGCTGGGCTTTCTTTGTGGTATGTGACATTATGTGTGTCTGCCCATTTCTTTCTAAACCAGGCGGGCACTGGGTGTTACAAATCTGGGTACTGTTCCATTATCTGGAAGGAGGCCAAAAGGGGATGCTAGACAGAGAAGGCTAGTCCATTTTACAGGGAACGGGGAGGTTGAAAGAATAAAACTACCGTATATTCTGGCATATAAGACGACTGGGCGTATAAGACGACTCCCAACTTTTCCAGTTAAAATATAGAGTTTGAGATATACTCACCGTATAAGACTACCCCTCTTCCAACAGTCTTATACGCCAGAATATACGGATTCCCCCATTTTCCTGTTATTTTCCCAACCCATGCCACAGTTGTGGAAACAGCCTTCATGTATGACATGGTAAGGGGAGGGGGAGTAACCAGCAAAAACAGGGAAAATGAGTTTCCTCCAACTCCCCCCCCCCTCTGTAAAATGGACTATACTTTTCTGTCTCTAGTGTCTCATGTTGGCCTTCG